TGTGCACTTTAAAATTGTGACTTCTCTTCTATTTTGGGGCGACGGGGTCGAATGGTAGAGTATTAGATTCTTAACCTGAAAATCTCCTGTTCGGATCCACTCTGTTCTGATGGATACCTGTATCTAGTCAGGAAAAATGATGATGCACTTGACCAGACTATCCTACGTTATGAAAGGTCAGAGAAACAGTAGAATATCCTATGCAAGATGGACACATTGATTTTTAATACCAGCTTGTACATTATTCTTGTAGAGGTATCCAACCACAAATGGTACTGGACATAGGCGTAGCGACCCTTCCCGGCGCCCGGGGATAAACTTTCGATTTGCAACCCCCTCTTAAACTTTCGATTTGCATCCCCCCTTCAAGCTTTCAATTTATTTTTCCAACCCATTTTGGCGCCCCCTAAGGTCGGCGCCCGGGTACATATGTCCCCCCCCCCCCCGCCCCCCCCCTCCCCCCGATACGCCTCTGGTACTGGAGAAAAGTTTCAATTAATACAAGCAGCAGCATCTGGCTTTAAAAATCTAACCAATAATTATATTTTCAATACCTTTACTATACGTGTTGTAAAAACAAATTGTTGTAGTGGACTGTTTTAAGTTTCACCAACACACTTTATGCTATTTATTTTTGGTTATAAAAGAAATATGTTTTTGCTTTTCTAATTTGTAACGTACAATAGAAATGTTCTTTAAATTACTTTTGGTGATTATATGGGAACAAGATAAATACTAAGACTAGCTGAATATATTATCTACAATTAATATCCTTCGACATTTGACAGGGCAAATAAAAACCGAAACCTTCACTTCAATATTTGTTTCGTCATCCATCTCTCCGCCGCGCTAAAAGCTGCGCATCAAGTTTGATTAAACCCAGTGCTGTGTTGCCAGTTTTCCCTTGAGAGTTGTGAAACTTGGTTTGGCCAACAAAAGGTCTCAAACCAGCCCAATGTTTTAATCATGGATGAGAGTTGCTGGTCCTGATGTTGGATGAATGGACATGTTTTTGGCCAAATTAAACAAATTTCCATCTCATTACACATGCAAAAAAGGAGCAATTTAATTTAGAAAAATACGGAAAAAACAGGAAACTCGATCCTTTCAGCATTTAGACACTGAGAACAGGGATTGAAATTTGAGGCTCGATAAAGGAGCTGATTTTTTTCAACTTTTTTTTCCTGGATTTCCAGAATGTTGCTTCCCATCAGGTTTGTCAAGTGATGCGAAAATAAATGTAAATGAGCTTTAGCGTGTGAGGGTCTAGGGTTCTGGGTTCCGATTCTGGTCAGGCTAGGCCACTGGACATTGGTCATTTTAGGACACTGGTCATGCTAGGACACTGGTCATGCTAGGACACTGGTCATGCTAGGACACTGGTCATGCTAAAACACTGGTCATGCTAGGACACTGTTCATGCTAGGACGCTGGTCATGTTAGGAGATTGGTCATTTTAGGACACTGGTCATGCTAGGACACTGTTCATGCTAGGACACTGGTCATGCTAGGACACTGGTTAGGACACTGGTCATGCGAGGACACTGGTTAGGACACTGGTCATGCTAGGACACTGGTCATGCTAGGACACTGGTCATTTTAGGACACTGGTCATGCTAGGACACTGTTCATGCTAGGACACTGGTCATGCTAGGACACTGGTTAGGACACTGGTCATGCGAGGACACTGGTTAGGACACTGGTCATGCTAGGACACTGGTCATGCTAGGACACTGGTCATGCTAGGACACTGTTCATGCTAGGACACTGTTCATGCTAGGACACTGGTCATGTTAGGACACTGGTCATTTTAGGACACTGGTCAGGCTAGGACACTGGTCATGTTAGGACACTGGTCATGCTAGGACACTGGTCATGCTACGACACTGGTCATGTTAGGACACTGGTCATGTTAGGACACTGGTCATGCTAGGACACTGGTCATGCTAGGACACTGGTCATGTTAGGACACTGGTCATGCTAGGACACTGGTCATGTTAGGACACTGGTTATGCTAGGACACTGGTCATGCTAGGACACTGGTCATGTTAGGACACTGGTCAGGCTAGGACACTGGTCATGTTAGGACACTCATGCTAGGACACTGGTCATGTTAGGACACTGGTCATTTTAGGACACTGGTCAGGCTAGGACACTGGTCATGTTAGGACACTGGTCATGCTAGAATACTGGTCATGCTAAAACACTGGTCATGCTAGGACAATGTTCATGCTAGGACACTGGTCATGTTAGGACACTGGTCATTTTAGGACACTGGTCAGGCTAGGACACTGGTCATGTTAGGACACTGGTCATGCTAGGACACTGGTCATGTTAGGACACTGGTTATGCTAGGACACTGGTCATGCTAGGACACTGGTCATGTTAGGACACTGGTCAGGCTAGGACACTGGTCATGCTAGGACACTGGTCATGCTAGGACGCTGGTCAGGCTAGGACACTGGTCATGCTAGGACACTGGTCATGCTAGGACATTGGTTAGGAAACTGGTCATGCTAGGACACTGGTCATGCTAGGACACTGTTCATGCTAGGACATTGGTTAGGACACTGGTCATGCTAGGACACTGGTCATGCTAGGACACTGGTCATGCTAGGACACTGGTCATGCTAGGACACTGGTCATGTTAGGACACTGGTCATGGTAGGAGACTGTTCATGGTAGGACAATGGTCATGTTAGGACACTGGTTAGGCTAGGACACTGGTCATTTTAGGACACTGTTCATGCTAGGACACTGGTCATGCTAGGACACTGGTCATGTTAGGACACTGGTCATGTTAGGACGCTGGTCATTTTAGGACACTGGTCATTTTAGGACACTGCTTAAGACACTGGTCATGCTAGGATATTGGTCATGTTAGGACACTGGTCATTTTAGGACGCTGGTCATGGTAGGACACTGGTCATGTTAGGACACTGGTCATGCTAGGACACTGGTCATGTTAGGACACTGTTCATGCTAGGACACTGGTCATGCTAGGACACTGGTTAGGACACTGGTCATGCTAGGACTCTGGTCAGGCTAGGACACTGCCTTACATCAATGCAAATCCCGTAACTTAAAGCCTTAATGTTGACGCTAAATGCAAGGATCTAGTCACAATGTCTAGTGAACAATGTGTTTAGATTGAGAACGATAAGTTCATCATTTTGTATATCACCCACCATCAAGTGATGTCAGGCAATATGGCGAAGTATTGAATCACGAACGTCAAATAGTCTTAGGTTCGAACTCGTGTTTCTGGATTTCAGGTTTAATGTACTACCAATAAGTGAGACATTCATTTCCTAATCCAGTGCCTATAGTTGTAGCATTATAATAATATCAGTAGGAACACTACAAAATAAAGCGGGAGTGATCTTCTATAAACTTTCTCGAATATTCTTATATAACACCACTTGATGGCAACTCGGGATATAGACATGATTTTTAATCCATTTTTAATTGCTTAAGCTTTTAAAAGTAGAATGGAATCTCGTAGAAAAAGAATTGCGCACCAAGTGAACGGCATACAATGTGTATTATAGTGCCGAATATTAGTAATTTATATATTCATATGTGAAATTTTATTTATCTATCTGAAACAGTAACTCAAGTTATAGGCAATTGAAAAACCAAATGTAGAATAAGTTCCACTTCCGTGTATCGGAAATCGCTGAAAAATTGATACAGAAATACAAATTTGATAACATGTTACTTATATATGAAATTTCATAACCCTAGCTGTAACGGTAATCAAATTATCGTGTTCGCAGAAATACATACACACATACACACACAGACATATGGACAAAATTGCTAAACTCTGTTTTTCCGACTCATGGAGATGTAAAAACGTCATTTATTAATTTTTTTTTTTTTTTTTTTTTTGCACAATTACATAATTACAATACTTCCTCTATATCTCGGATACGAAAAAGTAAATATTTCAGATGTTTCTAAAAAAAAGTTTATGCACATAATTTTCACGTATTACTTTATGAAGTCTCGTGATTCTACTTGTGTGAGTGTATGAACAGTAACATAACGTCAAGGGTGTAAAAGCTGGAAATAATACGATCTAAAAACTATCTGTTGAGACAGGCTGGTTTATAATTTTCTGAAAATGTCTTTCTCGTCAAAATTTTGATCTGGCCAACTCCCGTTGCCAGGGTAAATAATTGGATTTTTTGACAAGAGATCTCGGCGCGCGAGAAAGATACAAGTTTGGAATTTTTTAATGGAGAAGATTTGAGTTTTTGAACGGCTTTTATGTGAAATCGTCTTTCTCTTGTATTGTTACTTTTATATTCCGGCTATTTCTCTTAGTCAATATTGCTTGCTTGATCCCTTAGGGCAGGGGTCATCCAGAATTGACGTCACGCTTTTTGACGATGTTTACCTCCCCTCAGTCACACATCGTCACAAAAATCTACCTTCTATGCCTGTAACTCTACCACCACTGCCTGTAACTCTACCAATACTGCCTGTAACTCTACCAATACTGCCTGTAACTCTACCACCACTGCCTGTAACTCTACCATCTGCCTGTAACTCTACAACCACTGCCTGTAACTCTACGACCACTGCCTGTAACTCTACTACCACTGCCTGTAACTCTACCTCCACTGCGTGTAACTCTACCACCGCCTGTCACACTATCACCTGTCTGTAAATCTACCACCACTGCCTGTAAATCTACCACCACTGCCAGTCACTCTACTACTGCCTGTAACTCTACTACCACTGCCTGTAATTCTATCACCACTGCCTGTAACTACCTTCACTGCCAGGCTCTCTACTACCACTGCCTGTAATTATACCTTCACTGCCTGTAACTCTACCGCCACTGCCTGTAACTCTACCGCCACTGCCTGTAACACTACTACCACTGCCAGTCTCTCTACCACCACTGCCTATCACTCTACCGCCACTGCCTGTAACACTACGTCTACCACCACTACCAGTCACTCTGCCACCGTATTCACCATCTCCAGCCACTATCCTGACCTGCCCACGGGTCATCAAAGTTCTAGTCCACGCCGCTGCCCCGGGGTACTTCAAGACTGACTCGCCCATTAGACGGACCCTGTCATGTGACCGAGGGCAGGACACGATGCTCGTCCTTCACCCCTCCAGGCACCAGACCGTGACCGTCGCCTCCAGGGATCATACAGGGCTGGACCAACTCAGGTAACGTCTGTATGTCTGTGTGTCGGTATGTCTGTATGTTTGCATGTCTGTATGTCTGTATGTCTGTATGTCTGTATGTCTGTATGTCTGTATGTCTGTATGTCTGTATGTCTGTATGTCTGTATGTCTGTATGTCTGTATGTCTGTATGTCTGTATGTCTGTATGTCTGTATGTCTGTATGTCTCTATGTCTCTATGTCTTTATGTCTCTATGTCTATGTCTATATGTATGTATGTATGTATGTATGTCTGTATGTTGTAGGCAGATCTAGAGTGGTAGACTTTATTGTCTGTAGGCAGATCTATTGAGACAAACTTTAATGTCTGTATGTTATAGGCAGCTCTATAGTGGTAGACTTTAATGTCTGTAGGCAGATCTATTTGGCAGACTTTAATGTCTGTATGTTGTAGGCAGATCTATTGGGTCAGACTTTTTAATGTCTGCAGTCTGCATGCAAAATCTGTGGGGGCAGACATTTTAATGTTTGTTAGCGGGTCTATATGGAAGGGGGTTGCGAGTAACACCAACATTACTGCTAAATAACATCTACAGGAACAGACAATAGACGACATAAACACTCAGCTGCTATGTAATATTTAACTATTTAATTGACACCTTAAGTGTTTATAAAAAGATGATTAACTATCTTTTTTTTCTGGTAGTGTTTAAAGACATCACGTTACAGTTATTTTATTACATTCTATCCCGGATCATTTAACATGGTTAAAGATTGATTAAAATGATGTAGCCATCGGCATATTTTTAAACAACTCTCGTTCTTGTAAGTCGAACATATTTCTAACCCCTCGTCCTTTCTTGAATGCCTCATCGTAGACAAATAAAGCTGATATAAACATAAACTTTGTGATAGACAAAACCCATTTTAATTGATAACATGTTTTTAATTTTTTATTTGTAGACCTATTATGTTGACGACATTCTAGATCTCTGGGTGTGCGTGCGTGTGTGTGTGTGCTTGCGTGTGTGTGTGTGTGTGTATTCATGCGTGCGTGCGTGTGTGTGTGTGTGTGTGTGAGTGTGTGCATGAGCGTGACTGCGTGTATTTGTGTGTGTGTTTGATTGCGCATGTGTGTGCGTGTGAATATGTGTGTGAGTGTGTGTGCATGCGTCTGTGTGCGTGTACTGTTTATTTTTGTCTGATTGCGCATGTGTGTGCAAATGTGTGTGCTTGTGTGTGTGTGCGTGTGTCTGTGTGTATGTGTGTGTGATTTTATAATTAGCGCTGAACGTGCCCTCCAGATTTTCCTTGAAAAAAACCACCCGCTGTTTTTGTCCTGAGGCCCCCAAGCCTCGCTTAATCTGGACATCTCGGCTTTTCTCGTCAATTGATACGACCCGACGAGACGTACACACGCCCTTAATCCACAGAGAGTGGAGCCAGGGAAGACAAGAGGGAGGGGAGTGGGAGGCAGAGGGAGGGAGAGGAGAGGCAGAGGGAGGGAGAGGCAGAGAACCAGAAGAAAAAAAAGAAAATGTTTTGTTGAAGATAGTTTAAACCAGCTAACAAGACATCCGGGTTACTATTCAAATAACGTGAGCGAGACTTGACAGCACGAAACGAGAGTTGTGTTCACAATTTTTTGGTGTGGAGGAACAAGAAAAGACAATATGTGTTGAGATATTGTATCCAACTTAGAAGAACATAAACACCATATATGTATCAATCTTAGAAGAACATACTGTAAACAGTATATATGTGTTAAGAGAGTGTTTCAATCTTAGAAGAACATACTGTAAACACCATAAAAATCACGACATACGGGGAATTAGTCTGAAAACTGTACACTTTATAAAATGACAGCTTTCATCCCTGTGTGTTTTATTAATGCACGTAGAGGCTAATGGCGCTATTGGCAGTAATGAGAGGAAAATGATGTGCTATTGAGGTGTTGTTTTTTGTCTATATGAATCGTTTTTATTGATTGCGAGGCGCAATATACTGGGGTGGGGACTCGGAGGAGGGGGAGGGTTAAGATAAAACGGGCTAGAAGAATATGTTTTAGCCACTATTCTATGTGGGAGCTATATGCCGGCTAGGCTAAGATGGTTAGTCATTATTCTAATAGCTAGATAAATCACGGTTAGACTAAGATGTTTCAAACTTTTAGTCTTTGCAACAACACTAAATTAGGATAGAATGTAAAAGTATATTATGTTTATTCAAACTATACTTTGTCTTTCTAAATATAACACAGCACAGAACAAAATAACTAGACATATGGGATTTAGGGCCAAGGATGTAAAAATAGCATAAGCTAACAGGATTAGCTCCGACTGACAGCAACAAAAAAGTTGCATTTGTCTCGGGAATTACGTGTGCACAACTTCCACTGCGGGAATGTTTTGTGAGGTCTGTGACCTTTCACCTCCTTGTAGAATCTGTACACTAGGTGATTATTTAATTAGGATAATTCTAATTATGTATTGTGTAACAGGCTGGCGTGGTCCTACCAATATGTCACCGCCCTCAACACAACTGAATGGGCGGGGAGGGGATTTTTGTCTGGTAAGTAATAAACACAGTTCTTTGTTGTCATATATTTTTGGTGTCAATGTTGTTGTACTTTAAAATGACCTGTTAAAGTCGTACTTCTGCTAATGAATTTGGTTAGCATGTGATAAAGAGGCTAAGATAAGATGACGCAGATGTTCAGTCTTATCGTATACGGGTGATGTACTTGGAAACATAACATGTTTTTTTTTTTTTTAATTTTAAGTAATGTTTGCTTTTCAGATCAACTGTAGTACAGGGTAGTCAAAACTAACTGTCAAATTATTGAGACTTGATAATATGTAGTTCAGAGTAATCAAATCTGTCAAATTATTGAGACTTGACAATATGTAGGTCGGATTAATCAAATTCAATTGTCAAATTATTGAGACTTGACGATATGTATTCAAAGTATTCAGATCAAAATGTCAAATTATTGAGACTTGACAATCGATGAGGCGGAACAAGACATTACCATTGGGGAGAGTTAACGGTCAGAACATTAGCCAGCCGCATTTAAATTGACACTTGATATCAGATCTAGGTGTTCGATACGAACATTGACCACACGAACATTGACCACACGAACATTAACCACACGAACATTGACCACACGAATATTGACCATTTAGCCAATGGTGCCTCGTCTAGTGGACAGGCCAGCTAGAGGTAGTCGATATTTAGAGACCAGCTAGTGGTAGCCGATATTGACAGACCAGCTACTGGTAGCCAATATTGGCTGACCAGCTAGTGATAGCCGATATTGACAGACTAGCTAGTGGTAGCCCTGTTTAACAGACCAGCTAGAGGTAGCCGATATTGACAGACCAGCTAGTGGTAGCCCTGTTTAACAGACCAGCTAGAGGTAGCCGATATTTACAGACCAGCTAGTGGTAGCCGATATTGACAGACCAGCGAGATGTAGATTCTCTTACAAACTATCGTGAAGCCCTTCTTATTGACAAACCAGCTACACTTCTCCCTTGTGAAAAGGAAATCCCTAGCCCATCGCGTGTTGTGTTCTCGTTAGGAAAACGTAGTTGAAAGAAAGTTTAATTTAGTTTTCCTAATACAAAATAAACCTACCGGCCTGGCCCTAGGATAAAACAAGATTTTCGACTTCAAAAAAAAAAAAATAAAAGAAACCCAATTTTATGAAAATGTTTTTTGGAGAATTTACAAAAGATGATTGGCTAGCAAAAATATCAATATTTCTTTATCCGGAACATCAATATCTGTCTGGGAAAGGAAATTTTCAATTGACTCAATAAAAATCACAATAAAAAGATATTCCGCATTTGTATTCCAAATTTGCAGTAATCTGCTGCGACATTTCTTTTCTTTGCTTATCCGGCCATTCTGACGTATCAAAATACATCGTTGTCAAAGTTTTATGAAATTGTTAAATTAAGTTAGTTGATTCGCAACTTCTTCTTATTCCTTCTTAATTTTAGTGTTGAAAGGAATTCCCTCCAACACAATTAAGTATTACGTGTCAACTGGTTATGCGCCACATAGGCCGATGACTCCGATTTCAACATGCTTTTCTTTTTGGATTTTTTAACCCATTGCCTTTGTCCAACCAAGAACAAACTACAAATTTGTTCTTGGTTGGACAAAGCAGTTTTGGAGTTGTCCCCAGCTATCGAGCCTCATTTGCCCGAGAGTTCGAACACGAGACTTATCGAGTAATCAACCATGAGCTTAAGCGACTCGACCACGCCAACCTCCGATTGACAAACATATTTAAACCTTGTGGGCTTCTGAAGCTATTATGTATATATATATACACATACCACCAATTCTAGAGGATTCCTTTTTACCCTTACCCTAATCCTGACCACACTGAGAATTGAGATCATAGTTTCCACTGTAACTTTAACCCATATTATCCCAAGGTCTCAAATTTTTATAATTTTTTGATATGGTTTAGCTTTTGGGCACTGAATGAAGGAATGACTATGGATTTTTTTTAAAAATCAATACTTTTTTTAAATATCGATTTTTTAAAAAACGTCCCATAAATGGGACGCTAGCAACGAACGGCCCCATGTACATTTATTGGGAAAAAAATCATTTATCACGAAATATGGCTAATCACGCGAAAATTAAGCTGTATACTGATTTTGTATTGTTAGACCAATGATTACATTGTTTAGGACAGCTAAAAATACTGATAATGATCAATTGGGTTAGCCATACCATGGTCTAAAATGCAGAAATTATGTTCAAAAGTCTAGTTTTCTTTCAATCTAGCATCCATCAAAGTGAACAACACTTGGAAATAAGTAAAGCTGTGACTAGAACATCTAATTATACACACATGATCACAAATATTATTATTATTCATCGAAACTGTAATATAATTAAATATAAATAATTGATTTTTTTTTGGGGGGGGGGGGGGGGGGCGTACTTGAAATTTTCAGGGGGTGGGGCTTAAATTTCAGGGGAAGAGTGGACATTGGTAAATGTATGTTTTGTATATTAATTCTGTTTTTGTTCTGGGGGCAGAGCCCCCCCTCCTCCGAAATGATGCCTGAAAGAAACTCTGCCTTCAGTGAATTTGCAAATTTCCAGTCCCAGATGTCATCCAGCCATCTTCTCTTTTGTTGCCCTAGCTATTCCCCCCCCCCCCCCCCACAGGCGTACATTAGGACATGAGACATCTTATTTCTAGGGCACGGATCAGTCACTGGGGGCATGTATTGAGTGTTCATGGCTCTCATCCATGTATGCACCTCACTATGCGAACAGCTCCCTATCTAACACATGGAATCTCCTTAAAAGGTTAACAAAGTAAAACTGGTATCGGGGACCTTTGGAGGGGAATATTATTGGGGCATGACAACTGTACACAGCTAATTCACATTTCTGCTATAAGTAGCTTGAGCTCTCTTATATGAAGAGAGTTAACCAACCCCCATGACTGAATCATTTCACCTAAATCGTGGCCATTGTTATTTTTCTGGTTTGTTATAATTTTAAAATCACGCGCTAGTAAATTTACAGCAATACTAAATTAGTTTTTATTCAATGGTATTAAATACTTTAGTAATTGTAATTCTGAAAACTTAAAAATAAAATGTAAGTTTTTCAATATTTGCAATTTGTTAATACAATAATATATAAGAAAATATTGCTCAAGGTCATAATTAAATATCTTTAAATACTACTTAACACCCCAAAGTCAACAGATAACAAAGTCAACAATTGTTCCACCATAAATAACCATTTAACATAAATATTTGCATCTGTGTTTCTCGCTAGTGTCCAATAAATTTGACGTTTATGTAACAATCTGCATAAATATAGGTCAAGGTCATAATTAAATATCTATAAATACTACTTAACACCCCAAAGTCAGCAGTTAACAAAGTCAACAATTGTTTCACCATAAATAACCATTTAACATAAACATTTGCATCTGTGTTTCTTGCTAGTGTCCAATAAATGTGACGTTTGTGTAACAATCTACATGGGGCCATTCGTTGCTAGCGTCCCACTTATGGGACGCTTATTGTACACTTGATATAACGAAGCGGTAAAAAAAATTTTTTATTCTTAAATTTTTATCAGATAGAAATATGGTACTGCTACAAGTTTCAAATGTATTTTGCACTTAAAATGTTAATATTTTAGAAGATATGCATTTTCCTGTGCGCATGTTTTCTTTTTTCCGCCATTTTGACAAGTCCTCCAAATCCGGCACTATAACATTTTTCTAAATTAATTTTTTTCACAAAACACACACAAATTCAATAGTCTAACCATTTTCAAATACAATGAAACATAATTTGTGTTTTAACTAGTTTTTAATAATTGTTAGCATTTTTTTTTTTTACAAGCGTCCCATAAGTGGGACGCTAGCAGAATATGGGTTAATCCCGACTGAAGAAAAAAAAAACCTCGCTTAGAACTCCCAGAATCTCGAGCCAAATTAAAGATTCAAAGCTGCTTTTAATTGCCTTGTTTTCCCTGACCTCTCTCACAGCCGGTCCCGGCCAGGCCCTGCAAGTGAGTGACCTGTCGAGCAGACGATCGCCCAGAGAGAAAAGATCAACTAGCGACACGCAAGGTAATTTTTCCCGGGTTAAAATCAAATCAGTTGACACCACCACCACGCTCCATCCCTTCCGGTGTCGCGTTACTCTGGGCTGTGAAAAGCTTGACGGTGCTATGCTGGTATTACATTTTTAAAAAAGATCCTTTTAAAAATATCCGTAGGGCTTCTGCTTCCAATTGTGTTCAATTATTAATTGGAGTTGTTTAAGCCGGGTGCGTTATTTGATGTTAGCGTTGTGTGAAGGTGAATTAGTTTTAACATTAGGGAGGGGGGGGGGGATTTTCGAGTGTGTGTGTGTCTGTGCCTCAGTATCAGAGGCGTAGCGACCCGTTCAGACTCCCGGGGCGAACTATCAATTGGGCGCATCCAACCACTCAACTTCCCTTCAACAGTTTTTAATTGCCCGTCATGCAATCTATGCATACCCATGTTACTTTATTCCGTTCAGGCAAGTAACAAACTAGTTTCTTGACGTCTAATTCAGTAATACAGCTCAGAAAGTATTTTTCTTCATTTTGTTGCCCCCCCCCCCCACTCCCTACGGTGGCGCCTGTATCTGCGTGTCAGTGTGTGTGTGTGTGTGTGTGTTGTGTGCTGTGTGTATGTGTTTATGCTGATGGAAGCCCGTATTTTATTTATTGTTATGCTTCTTATAGCACCATTAGTCAGAGGCATAACTAGAGGATGGCGGGTGGGGTGACCGTAGGGGCGCCGACCTTAGGGGCGCTAAAAGGAATAGAAAAAAGAAACCTCATTTCGAGCTAAATTACTGTATTATACTAAATAGACAGTTGGTTTGCGTGACTGACTAATTAGACTGTTTTCTACATCTAATTAAGGGATAGTGGCCGCCACCAACCTTTCCAAATGTGGGGGGGGGGGGGGTCACGAGGGTGATTACCTATATATAAATGGGAGCGTAAAATTGATAGTTCGCCCCGGGCGCCAAGATGGGTCGCTATGCCTCTGCGATATATTTTATTGAAATACATGAATGTTGAAAGGCAAATTATAGAATCAGATTTAAATGTACAGCCTGTAAATTATGTTTGTTGATTTATTTGACTTAGCTAAAACAGCTTATAAAAAGTGTGCTGTTTGTTAACTATTCAAGAAATAAAAAAATAGATTTCTTTTCTCTCTATTGACCCTGGTGTGGTTTCAGAGTCCCCCAAACCAAAAACATGCGGAAAAGATTACAGCTGCGTCAGGTGAGGCTATATATACATACATATAATTATATATATATATATATATATATATATATATATATATATATATATATATATATATATATATATATATATATATATATATACATATATATATAAATGGTTAAATTGTCTTTATATGATATTTGACATTGTAAAGTTAAAGCGACACAAACGCTTTCTCACCAATAGCTGTAGCTTAACGTTCGAAAGACGCCTTTGTGTATTGGTGGAATATTGGCAGAGGAGGATTTGAACCCTCCCCAACACCCGTCTACTCCACTCAAACGTATGCAATCTATTTATGTCCTTCGTTTAAAAAAAAATTGTTTAAAACTTTCTCCAGCCATTTAAGCTAGTCACTGCTCAAACGTGTATTCCCTAGGTTGACAAAATTGTTTTAAAAGGACGTGTGTGGATCTATAGAGAGCACTGGGCAGTAATTTTACTAAGTTATTGTTATTAGGCTGTGTCGGTTCACTGGTTCGTTACCACGTACAGCGTTATGAAAATACTTGCAACTGTCTAAATTAAAACACGGATCTTTTTAACTATATGGGGGTTTAGATTCAACATAATTATATTATAATATATATATATATATATATATATATATATATATATATATATATATATATATATATATATATATATATATATATATATATATACAGACATATTTGTTTATATGTATATATATACAATGTCCGTGTGTGTGTGTGCGTGCGTGCGTGGGTTGGTGGGTGGGTGGGTGGGTACGCGCGTGCGTTCGTGTGTGTGTGTATGTGTGTGTGAGTGTGTGTGCATGTGTGTGTATATGTGTGTGTGTATTACTGTGATAACTGCGCAAGTAAAAGTTAATTTCCCTTTTTGAATCCGACGGTCCATGGGGTGAGTGGAGTTCAGCTGTCTCTATGACCTCGGCATAGGGATAGTGTGGTCAACACTATGTCCAGTGGCCTTTACTTTCCTTAACGCGAGTTAGGTACATATTAGAGCTTGCTGTACTTAGGGGCGTTCTAATTGAATCTTATTCACATGGTAACCCCGCAACCCAATTAATTAAAAGAGGCTAATTAAACGATATTCTTGTCAATGTCATTACTTTTTTTTATTGCGATGATACATTGCCTTGAGAATATTTAAATAAAAAAAACCTTTTTATTTCAAAGTCAGCTTATAAATCATCATTGCTTCCCAAAGAGAGATAACCCTGCTACATTGACACAAGAGTAGCGTCCCCTTCTCCTTGCTATTTTTCATTCCGCGTTCGATAAAATCAAGATTGAGCAATGTAAAAACTCCAACCACAAAACATGAATAAACGACGTGCTAAGCCTTGATGACAATGTGTCTGCAGGTTTGGGCGGGAGAGTTGCAGACACATGGAGTGTGAGTACCTGCTGACGTACTCCATCACCAACCTGACGTACTTGGTGCTAGAGATCAGTGCTAAAGCCTCGGGGTGGGTCGCATTAGGGCTTTCGTCTGACGATAAAATGGTGAGTCGATTTGGTTTTAGATTGATTCAGGTCAATGTGTTTTATTTACGGGTCGTCCATAAATGACGTCACACCGGTAGGTAGAGGAGGGGGGGGGGTCCGTAATTATGTGACGGTGTGTGATGAGGGTGATATGGGGGGGGGGGGGGTCAGATGGTGCGACGTTAAACTTTTGCATTATAAAAAAGCAATGTTAGAAAATGAATTTTAGACGTTGTTTCGCGTTTTAGAAAACTGTTATAATAAATTGCAATAGGAATTGATTAAAATACTCTATTTTGACAGTGTTCAGACAATTTTTTGGAAAAATATCTATGTTTTAAGAAAAATTCAACTGCAATTTTGGGGGGGGGGGTTGTAAGCTGAGGTGTGACGTCATTTTAGGGGGGGGTCTGGCTTTTTGTGACGATGTGTGACGGAGGGGAGGGGGAGGTAAAAATCGTCAAAAAAAGCGTGACGTCATTTATGGATGACCCCTTACTGGAATATTTAATTTAATGGATCTTTCCCTAATAGGGCAAGATATAAATATAGAGCTTAATGAAGCTCATTAGTGTAAAAATAATAAAATACTTAAAAAAAACTTTTTAAAAAACCACGTTTTTCTTGTGGACTAAAAAGTAGAAAATAACTATTTACATACATTTGATGACAAAAAACGTGGGTACGTTCACCATCAAATTTCCCGACCCATCTGCCCGACCCACGTTTTTTGTCATCAAATGTATGTAAATAGTTATTTTCTACTTTTTAGTCCACAAGAAAAACGTGGTTTTTTAAAAAGTTTTTTTTAAGTATTTTATTTTCTCCTTTTTAGTCCGTTGCTACACATGAAAAACGTGGTTTTTAAAAAAGTGTTTATAAATACACGGACTAAAAATCTTGAGCGACCAGGATTCGAACCTGGGTTGTCGCGGCCACAACGCGAAGTACTAACAACTATACGATCACGGCCAGCGCGCTCACATCGATTGGGGCCGAAGTAACTGTGTCATTAGGACTCCAGTCTTGTCGGTATCTTTAGAAATCATGTCCTCAATTTTATGGTCCTTGGGGCGTAATTAAATTAAGCTAATTACGGTCACTAATTGCTAGTTTTTATGATTGCATCTGAAATTGTTAGGCGAAAGTAGCATGCATGCCAAATTTCAGGTCTCTAGAGCAATCAGAAGTGGGCTAATTTTCGATGTCAATTTTAACAACAAACATCCAAACAAACAAACAAACGCGAAGCTGAGTTAAGAAAAACGTTTTAAAATGGGAGGAAAGCGAGTAATTTCAGATACAGAGATCAATGGCTTACATAATGTGTGCAGTAGTAGAAAGAAAAGTACTTGATTTGAGTGTTGTTATCAGATTCTGTTGGCCAGTCTAGGTAAGGCTGTTGGCCATATCCTGCATAACTGTTGGCCAACTTTATTACAGCTGTTGGCTAGTTTAAAAATCTGTTGACCAGTTTTAGCGCAGCTGTTGGCTAATTTTAGTAAAGCTTTTGGCCATTTTTAAACGCTGTAGGCCAGTTTTAGTACAGCTGTTGGCCAATTTTAGTGAAGCTATAGGCCATTTCATGTATAACTGTTGGTCAGTTATCTTACAACAATTGAACTGTTGGCGGCATTATGAAGTGCTACTACTCCATCCAGCCAAACGTATCCTAGATAAGCAGGTATTGCTTCTCGCCAAGTAGCACAATAAAAGCAAAAAAAAATTCAAACTCGTCACCAGTATTTTATTTATTAACACGTTTTTAAAACGTTTTTCTTAACTCAGCTTCGCGTTTGTTTGTTTGTTTGGTTGTTTGGATGTTTGTTGTTAAAATTGACATCGAAAATTAGCCCACTTCTGATTGCTCTAGAGACCTGAAATTTGGCATGCATGCTACTTTCTCCTAACAATTTCAGATGCAATCATAAAAACTAGCAATTAGTGACCGTAATTAGCTTAATTTAATTACGCCCCAAGGACCATAAAATTGAGGACATGATTTCTAAAGATACCGACAAGACTGGAGGCTTATTGACACAGTTACTTCGGCCCCAATCGATGTGAGCGCGCTGGCCGTGATCGTATAGTTGTTAGTACTTCGCGTTATGGCCGCGACAACCCAGGTTCGAATCCTGGTCGCTCAAGATTTTTAGTCCGTGTATTTATAAACACTTTTTTAAAAACCACGTTTTTCATGTGTAGCAACGGACTAAAAAGGAGAAAATAAAATACTTAAAAAAACTTTAAAAAAAAACACGTTTTTTATGTGTAGCAACGGACTAAAAAGGAGAACGGACACGGTAACACATTGTTAACGGTGACACGGTTGGTACGCTGGGCATGCTAAAATACACATAAACACGTTTTTCCTTAACTCAGCTTCGCGTTTATTTGTTTGTTTATGGGAGATTTGATCACGTGATTCGTGAGTAGATCTCCACGCCAGCAACGTAAATTACACCCTTTCTCTGTTTAAAGCGTATCGGTCCCTGAAGATTTTTTTAGTCCGTGTATTTAAAAACACTTAGTCAAGTCATACTTAATCAAGTGATTAGATAAAGTAGAAAATAAACTATATAAAAAACTTTTTAAAAACCACGTTTTTCATGTGTAGCAACGGACTAAAAAGGAGAAAATAAAATACTTAGAAAAAACTTTTTAAAAAACCACGTTTTTCTTGTGGACTAAAAAGTAGAAAATAACTATTTACATACATTTGATGACAAAAAACGTGGGTCGGGCAGATGGGTCGGGAAATTTGATGGTGAACGTACCCACGTTTTTAGTCATCAAATGTATGTAAATAGTTATTTTCTACTTTTTAGTCCACAAGAAAAACGTGGTTTTTTAAAAAGTTTTTTTTAAGTATTTTATTTATTATTAACTCAGCTTCGCGTTTGTGTGTTTGTTGTTAAAATTGACATCGAAAATTAGCCCACTTCTGATTGCTCTATAGATCTGAAATTTGGCATGCAGGTTACTTTCGCCTAACAATTTCAGATGCAATCATAAAAACTAGCAATTAGAGACCGTAATTAGCTTAATTTAATTACGCCCCAAGGACCATAAAATTGAGGACATGATTTCTAAAGATACCGACAAGACTGGAGGCTTATTGACACAGTTACTTCGGCCCCAATCGATGTGAGCGCGCTGGCCGTGATCGTATAGTGGTTAGTACTTCTCCTTGTGGCCGCGACAACCCAGGTTCGAATCCTGGTCGCTCAAGATTTTTTTAGTCCGTGTATTTATAAACACTTAGTCAATTCATACTTAATCAAGTCATTAGATAAAGTAGAAAATAAACTATATACAAAACTTTTTAAAAAACCACGTTTTTCATGTGTAGCAACGGACTAAAAAGGAGAAAATAAAATACTTAAAAAAAACTTTTTAAAAAACCACGTTTTTCTTGTGGACTAAAAAGTAGAAAATAACTATTTACATACATTTGATGACAAAAAACGTGGGCAGATGGGTCGGGAAATTTGATGGTGAACGTACCCACGTTTTTTGTCATCAAATGTATGTAACTAGTTATTTTCTACTTTTTAGTCCACAAGAAAAACGTGGTTTTTTAAAAAGTTTTTTTTAAGTATTTTATTTTCTCCTTTTTAGTCCGTTGCTACACATGAAAAACGTGGTTTTTAAAAAAGTCTTTTATATAGTTTATTTTTATACTGCCATTAGAATTATTCAACATGAAGCCTTAGGGGTTAGAAAATTTTCTAAAACATTTTCAATAGATCGATCAGCTATTCTTTTTAAAGAACTGTCCGTGAATTAGCCATCCTGCAATCTGTTTTGTTTAACATTTGAAATGTATTCCCAGGGCGGGGACGGAGCAATCGTCTGCAAGAGAAAATCTCCGTTGGACCGAGGTCTGGAAGCTGTGTCCATGTGGATCAACCTGCCCCACACGCGTCCAAACACCAGGTCCAGTGAGGACTACACTTTAGCCGCCCAGAACTTGACCGACGGCTACATCTACTGCAAGATGACCAGAGTCCTGCCGGTACAGTTTTATAACTCCCTGTGTGGAGTCTAAAACAAGTTTCTATTAGTTCTTTCACTCCAAATACAGGACTATAAATGGAACTTTTATAGCACAGCTATAAATATATAAGTTCTTTATTGGGTAGAACGTGTCTGAAAATCCAAATTGTTGATTGAGTGACATTATTGAGCTGCTTTTAGATTTTATTTAAAACAGGAAGTTCAAATCTTGTGGGGTTTTTCAATGCTGTATTTTGTTCTTTATGGAATCTTCCATAAAAGATGTTGATGAAATTCAGGAGAAGCTTATGCCCATCTGTATCGACAGTTGTTGTCACAAAAAGAGAGACGCCCCCCCTTCCCCTCCCCCCAATCACACACACTCCCCCACCGTCTCCTATTTTGATTACAGAAAGTACCGCTTGTTATTTATATTAAAATTTAGCCTTTTGTTCTAATTGTCTTTTAAAAATGATTTTAAAAAAGATTTACTTAAACTAACCCCAGGAAACAGACACGGACGCGGATAATACTCTCGACCTGTCCAACAATTGGTACCAGTTCTACGCCAGGGGTGAAATAGACAGCAGTAAGTCTTCAACTCGTTACTTTCATGTGTCTCTGATCTCACAAGCTCTAGTAGAAATAGTAGGTAGCCTGCTGCAAATTGAGCTGACAGGCAACTAGTCTGATAAGTGATATAGCATACGAGCCGACCCGCGGCATATCATACGCCGCTATTTAGTTGTTGTTTTATCTACTTTTCAGTTATTCATAATTTGTGAATTCGACACTACCAACGCTGCCACTGAAAATATTTCTTTAAAACACTATAATTAAAGTAGCTCGTTAAGGACGATAACCCCCCCCCCCCCCCTCCGTTAAAGTTAAGTCCACTTAGTTACCCCCCCCCCCCCCCCCCCCCCACGTTTAAAATCGTTTCAAAATAAATTATCTGCCCCTAGTAGTCGTCACTAAACCCGGCTCTGTTTGTAAACATTTAGAGTGAACCACAGCTCACCAGGCTATGTAGGGGTGGGGGTGGTAGGGAGCGCGTTTACAGCTTGTTTTCTAGCGTCTCCCAGAAGAGAACTATATATATAGATGTGTCTCTGATCTCACTAGCGGTAGAATAAACAGTAGGTAGCATGCTGTCTCACTTAGATATAGGCCTGCAACTTGAGCTCACAGGCAACAAGGGTGATATAGTAGGAAGTGTTTAGCTCTTTACTTTGATGTGTCTCTGATCTCACTAGTAGGTAGCGTGTTGTCCCTCATGAACATAGGCCGCCAACATGAGCGTTCATGCAACTGGGACCTGTGTTAGCTTCTCCATCTACACCCAGATGTAGTTCACCAATTTGAGAACCTTTCTTGTGATCACCTTCTGTTTAAATTTTACACATTCAGTAGCGGTTCGATTTTGTTCAGGGAGAGGTTCCTAGCCCTTAGTCCAATCACCCCCCCCCCTCCTCTCTCAACCAGGCTTGGGGCAGCTACTGTGAAGCTGTTTTGTCTTGTCGCACTATTTAGTCAATATTCGGCGTCTATCATTTCAACCCTAGAACTAGTAGATCTGATTACAGTTTACAGAACTGCCGGGAGAACAGACATGCTTCCACTTTTAGCTTCACAGCAAGATTTTAGTATAATTTTAGAATAGATATTCTGTGTTATTTATTTTTTTCAAAAACAAATTGAGTAAATGAAATTTAGGATAGATCTAGATACTTTGAGTTTGAAAAGAAATTATTGTTGGCAGCATAGGTGTCGCCCTACCATGGACATTAGGAATATTTCTTTATTGGAAATTCTTAAAACTTGCATTTTTTCGCCAAATTCAATGACATTATGATAACCTCCTTTTTGAGAATTCCTGAATGTTCCAATTTGAAACATTGTATGACGCCCAAATTGCTTTCTTGGTTGTAATATTCTCTTCTATCAGGAGTAGCGCTATGATGACATCATAAAAATGTTTTTGTTAATATTTCCTGCAATATCTAGCTGACCACATCCCTTTCTACTTGCAGACGGCCTGATCCTGAAACACGACGACCGGCCGCCCACGTCCCTCCACTCCATCACCATGCTGCGACACAACCACATCCACAGCCACCGCTACACGCAGCTGACGGACCAGGCCCAGACCCTACACATCGGCATCTCCACAAGTTTAACATTACTTGTCCTTCATTTGGTCATCTCATGGGTTTAAATACGTGGTCATTTGGTCATTTCATGGGTTTAAATACGTGATCGTTTGGTCATTTCATGGGTTTAAATACGTGGTCATTTGGTCATTTCATGTGTTTAATTGCGTGTTCAGTTCTTGTATTTAAATGCATGGTCATTTCGTTTCTTTAGTTCCTCATCAGTTCATTTCATGTGTTTAAGTTTAAGTCTCTGGTTATTTTATGTGTTTAAGTTCCTGGTTATTTTATGTGATTAAATTCCTTGTGATATGTCTTCATTTCACGTGTTTAAATACGTGATCTTTTAATTTATTTATATGAGTGATTGCTTCGTCATTTCATTTGTTTGAACAACATTAATGTTCATTTCGTCATTTTTGTATGTTTCTTTTTTATTTCGTACTTTTGATTTTATCTATTTTTCAATTTGTCATTTTTGTATGTTTATTTTTTAATTCGTTATTGTTGTTTGTTTATTTTTTTATTTCGTCATTTTGTTAAATGTATCGTTCCTCATTGTTCTTTTTATTTTATCACCATTTTATTTTACACATTTCACTTAATCAAACAGTATATTTGATCATGTTATAATGTAATTGTAATTCATCGAGTCCTTCCATTATTTAACAATAACATTGATTGTTTTACTTTGCTTTTATGTTCTTACAAGCATTGTGTTATTTATTAGACTTTTTTTTTTATACCAAACGTACTGACATAGTTGTCTATAGGTTTTATTTTTAAAAGAAATCAAGTGAGAAATATTATCGACAAACTCTTTGAAAAATTGTCTGAAAATGATTTCCTTTCTTTTTGCCTCAATGTTATTATCTACAAAAGGTGTGAATAATAAGTATCGAGCTAAAGGGACGCAACGGTGACGTAATGTGGAATCAGGAACACAAAATGTTAACATAAGCGCTCACTTTAATTAAATGAATGGTCTCTAAAGTAGTTAAAATATATTACAACTGAAAATAAAGCATTTTGTTGGTTTAAAGTATTTTTTACAATTCGATGCGAACTCAATACATAAATGCGTATTAACAATTCGAAAAACTATTAGATTCAATTTAGTTTAAACCTAAAAAAGAGATATTCCAGAAATGATTAAACCATTACCTTCTCGCTTAGGCTACGTACCTTTTTCACCTAGCACAATATCAACCTACTCCTGCTACTCAGCTTCTAGAGCAGTGGTTCTTAACCCGGGGTCGATCAAACCCCAGGGGTTCGGTGAGTCAGTCTCATGGGTTCGGCGGAGGTCACGACACACACCCGACTCACTTGATTACGATTGGATTTCGTCAGTGCGATTGATAGAACCATTTAGATGGGTTCAGCAAATGCGCTTATGTAACTCCAAAAACCTTAACATGGGCTAAGCGAAAGTTTCTATCTTCTAGTTCAACCCTGTGACGTTCATTAATTTTAAAAAAATGAAGCGTCTTCCGAAAAATACGGGTAACAGTGTTCATTTAAAACAGGATTTACTAATTAGTTGGGTGTTTTTTTTTTCTTTAAAACGTACAGAAAATTTAAAAAAATAGACCCATATATTGATCTTAGTAACAAATAAATAAATCGAACCCTAACAAATATTTTAATTTATAAGTTTTACAAACTATTACACTTTAAAAAAATTACTATGTGATAGAATAATGCTATGTTCAAATTTCAGATTCATATCGAATTTAATACAAAATGATAATAGCATTTTAATTTAAATTGTCCTCTGTTGATAAGGTTTTCGATTTATAAATAACCCTTTTTGTACTTGCCTGCTGTAAAAAAATTCCTGCTAATTTTAATTTCGTAAAAACAAAATCTCATTGTTGCTCCCCTTCTCGCATTGTGATTAATGTGAAACCTGCTCAATTCGTGTCTGAAATCCAATCTGCCTGCACATGTAACGGCAACCTAATTATAAATATCAAATTGCATGACGTCATTGTAGTTGATTAATAAAATAAATAAAAAATTGAAAAAAAAATATTTGATAGGAAAGACAAATATAATAATTGATATTATAAAGCCATTAATGGATTACTTCAAAATACTCTAGCAATTTATTGTAAAAGGCATTAAAATATGTGCCTTGCATTTATTTTTCTCCGTTTCTATCAAACAATTCACTTTTTATAATTTTATAATCTTCTCTATCTAAAGCTTGTACATTTCATACCGCAAATAACCCACAATGAAAATTTTTATTTTTTTAAACATCTGTTCTGTGTAATCAATGTACAAATAATGTATACAAAATAAATCTCTAAATGTTTTTGTCCAATTGGTGTATTAAAATAAATAATTATTCATAAATATGATTGGTGTTGATTAATCCGTCCACGGTCGTCTCATGCTATAAAAATACAACACAATTTTAGATCCTTACACCAAGGTGGATATACAAAATCGTTAACAGTAAACTTTAGGCTAAAAGTAATTAGCATTACTCGTTTGTAACCTGACGGTCCATGTTGCAGTTGGGGTAGAGTTCACCTGTTACTTTGACCACGGCTTATATAGGGATAGTTTTGTTTTTTGCCCAGACGCCTTTACTTTCCTTAACGTGAGTCTGATACCCATTAGAGCTGGGTAAATACAATGACAGATTATTGACTCGAGCCCTAGATTTGAACTCGATACTTTCCGGTTCGCAGTCGTGAGCTCTGTCGTTCGACCCCGTCGTCCCATGTAATTTAATCTAGCTTGTTCTCTGTTTATGATAAATACCTTCATAACATATCAAAACACTAGAGAACTAGATAGAAACCTGGGACACTGGGTTCGATCGAACTCCATGAGTTCGGTGAGTCAGTCTCTGGTGTTCGATGGAGGTCAAGATACATACCCCGCTCACACGATACACGATCGGATTGTGTCAATGCGGACGATAAAACTATTAAGAAGGGTTCGGTAAATTCGCATACGAAACTTGTTGAGTTCGGTGCCTTAAAAAGATTAAGAACAACTGCACTAGATAGTTCAGTTAATGCATTACTGAAGCAGAAAGATGAAAAATGTAAAATTAAAAACTTTGCACTTTCTTCATATGCGTAGTGATTTCACGTACAAATTAATACTGACTCACCTAACATAAAGAACTAACCCTGCTAGAGTACATCTAACTCTATAAAGCTTTTATTAGAAAAATTCATGAATATCAAGACCTAAATATATGAATCAAACCACCCATTAATAAATGTATACAACTGAAGCAGGCCGCTGAATGAAATAAACGGGCACGGACCGCTGTGTATGAAAGGGTGAAGCGACTGCAATCTTTGCCCGTAGAAGCCATTACTCTCTCGGGTATCGTAAAGCAACAGTGTAGGAAGCGAGGTTTGTCAAATCAATATTCCCAATCACACTTTCTACGCTGTAATTCATTATGTAGATAGAATGTAAACTGTGGCTCTGAAATACAGCTCTTGGTTGTGGATAAAAACAAAATATTTCAGAACAGGGGGGAAATCTAAAGTAAACTTATAAAAATGCCGTTTCCAACCTATTTATAGGCCTGCAATCTTTATTTCAAGGGGGAAAAAATGCTGCATGGAACTGAACGAGGCACTCCTTCCGCTTCATAACAGCTAGGTTTTGCCGCTATCGTTTAATAAAATATAATCCCATAATTTGATTAATAGGCCTACATAGGGGCCATCCATTAACGACGTCGGGCTTTTTTACGATTTTATCAGAAATCCATACCCCCACCCCACCCCCTAATGATATTAACCTCAGCTAGAACACCCCTCAAAATTGAACTTTTTTTTTGCTAAAATATTTACTGAGCTCGGTCAACATTTAGTGCATCTATACTAATCAATATTTTATTTCAATTTACAAAAAAACAGTCTTTTAAAACACGAAAAAAAAAAACTCCTAAAATTCTGATTACTCTTTAAAATGCCTATCTGAAAATTCCAATACTGCACCCCCCACCCCTCCCCCCACCCCTCCCTCCGCCTAGAAGTGTGACGTCTTTTATGGACAAACCAATGGGCTAATATAGTTATTTAAATGAAAGCTGTAGATGTCTAAATGTAAGCCTTTAAAGTCATTATGTAGAAATAGACTTTGTAGGCCCACCGACAAATAGGGCGTTGTCTTTAGCCTATGTGATTATTTAATCAAGCAAAATATGTCTTGACTCAACTTGTGTAGTATCCAGCTTTAACTCCTACTTTTCTGAAATAACATAAATCTTGCAAAAAATAAAAAAAATAAAAAGTATAGAACATAACATTACACCTGGTGTAGGACAAAAGGCCGACATCCAAAAGGCCGACAAGAACAAAAGGCCGACATGGACAAAAGGCCGACCGCCAAAAAGGCAGACTGAACAACACGATCCTTGCTTTTGAAACCGCAATCATATTAACTTTTGTGACCGCAATCATACTAACTTTTGTCACAACAGTCATGTTAACTATTGTGACAGTAGTCAAATTAACTTTTGTGACCGCAATCAAATTAACTTTTGTGACCGCAGTCATGTTAACTTTGGGACAGCAGATTCTTGATTAGGCCCTACGGCATCGGCAGCTGTAGATTTACATTCATGGAAACAAACTAAACCCCCCCCCCCCCCCCGATTGTCTCCTCTTACCATTTTATATAGCCTATGTCGGCCTTTTTTTCCTGTCGGTCTTTTATCCATGTCGGCCTTTGGTCCGGATCTCCATCACACCACCGCTAACCGAGACAACACAATGCTAACCAAACCCTGTTTCACATAACGTGCGAGATCCTTACGAGGGAAGATGGGACGTGACCAGGCATGGAGCCCACAGTTTGAACTTAAATAACTCCACCAGCTGAAATATTCAATCTCTTTATCCATTGTATATAAGCTTTACCCAAGCGGTTCAATTCTTAAACAAAATAAAACGCAACTGGTTTTGTTAGGGTGCATTGGCGCATTTGTCTACAGTTTTATTTTTTAAATGAGACTATTGGACGTAACAATCCAAACAGTGGCCACAGGTTTTATAGATGATATTCTCAAACTATATGCAATTTTGTGTCACTTTTTCTCTGTCTTGTCACGCTGTGCCTATTATGGGTAACTTTAAAAAGCTATTAATATTAAATCAATATGAAAAGCGGAATTGCCCATTAAAAATTAGCTATATTTCGATTTGGTGTCACCCCATTTGGATGGTGATTTTTAGTACTGAATTTTAATTATAAAAATATTGATTCAATAATAAATTGTTCCTTACTGATTTCTACAAATATTATTTTAATGGTCGATGAGTGGTCCGTTTGATCAGACTAATTTAGTGTTCCGTTGTGACTGAATTTCCAAATAAGGTTAATATAAATACAAAATAATACGTATTTATATTTTATAAATGTTCAATTAATTATGACATTATTTACCTGTGAATTATTTTTTAAATGTATTTTTAAAAATATGTTTTTAAAGATATATCTTCCACTTTAGCATAAAATTATAAATTAAAATTCGGATGTGTTTACTTTTTTAAAATCTTTTATTTAAAAAAAAATATTGTGCGAGTTTTGTTGATTATTTCCCTTGGATCAATAAACTATGAGAATTTAATTCGACCAAGCGGGACTAATATTTAATTGAGTTATTAAAGCACTTTTAAATACGCTTCTAAATGACATTACTTTTTTTAATAAGATATATATTGATATTACGGTGTCTTTTTTTTTAGTTTTTTAACAAATCGAATAGTAAAGTTGCCAACAACAAGTAATGTTTAACTAATTTAATTTAAAACTCACAAGACATCACCATTAAAAAATAAGTATCAAATGACTTTTTTTTTTCAAGATTAAAATATTTTCTCAAATAGGGTATTCAATAAATAATTGTGAAAACAAAACACATTTTAATTTTAAGAAACATATTTTAAATCTAGCACAAATTTAAATTTAGCTTGACAACTGAGCTTATCTGGCACACATGGGTCAAGGCCAAAATGGCAGAAAATATGTACTATTCCTTGTAAGTTTTACGATAACTTCATCTTATATTTGCCGTTACAAGAAATCTGTTAACACAAAATAAACCAAATATTATCTATGTTTTACATTCGTTTCAAACCTATCATGACCATGTTTTGATTTATTCATCATACATGAAACTATAGGTCAAATAAAATAAAAATAAACGTGAATCTCAAAATTTCTTGGTTCGGCCTGGAAGTCATTTGTACTAATAATAAACTACGTATGCCAGAATGAATTATTACTATTAGATCTATCGGTGCTAATTTATTTCAGTAACATCTTCAGAACTCAGCCTTTAGCTTGTAAATAATTAAACTCAGAATTTAAATACCTTCGATTTTTTAAGCTTTCAAATTATTTAGTTTGCAGATACTATTGTTCCACTTAAATGCAGATTCTAAAAGCTTAACACAGTGAAGGAAGAGTTATTTCTTTAATAATAATTAATAATATTCAATGTTCTCTTGCAAGGCATTATAATTAATAATAATTATTAAAAAATACGGAATAGTTTCATTTAATTTTGGCTGATTAATTATTGCGTTAACAACATAAATTACTTCGATACCTACAAGCTGTGAATGTTTTAGGGCCTAATAAACATGCTATTTCATAGAAACCTATTACTATTATATAATTACTAATTACACCTCTAGCATAATTTTTTTTTTATAATAAACTACAATGAAAAAATATTTATTTTTTGTTTCAGAGATATGATAAGTGTGAATCAAGAAACATCTGATTCTACCGATGAAATAAATCAACTTATAGCTAACCTAAAATCAAATTTAGAAAATAGAAATACTCATCTTCAGGGCAAACTTACCTTTACCATTGGAGAGTCATCTGAAGTAGATGTTAATTTTCAGTCTACCTCCCAACAGTCATCCTCATCCAGACTGGCAAGATTGGGCTTGTCCAATAATTCTCACTCAGCAGGTCAGATCTCCGATCTTGTAGAACGAACAAACGGATATGAGATAGACTCTGTTCCAACCCAGAGATTAAGGACCTGTCCTGAAATGCTAGTCCAGACTGAACTCCTAGCTGAAAACACATTGTCAAAGCCTTTATCAAAATCCTTCCATCATATCATCATGAGTTCAGAAAAAGCTCTAGATGGATCAAAACATAATAGGTTTTCCGCTGAAGAATATCAAAAGTTACCAAATAGGTGTGAAGAATTGTCAAGAACGCAAGATTTATATACAAACTTTACCTCTTCCCATTTATCAAATGATATGCATAGTGTTACTGCCACTGCTTTTCTACCAGATAAAATGTTTTCAGAATCAGATCCAGTTGAATTTGATAGATATCAAGTTCTACTTTCCACATCCCCAACTTCAAATTCAAATTTGTTACCTTTTGAGAAAGTTGATTCATCAAGATTTAGCTGTACTTTGCATGATGAAATGAATGACTCAGCATTTAATACATCAAATCATAAACTTCCTTTTGATCAAAGTGAAATTATTGGTAGTTTAAATAACCCTAATGAAAGTTCTAGTACTTTGATGAACAGTATACAAGAAAATACTAATAATACAATGATAAGAAAGCAAATTAGTTTACAAGATGTATCAGTGGACAAAAGTTTTTTCAACAAAAATAGAGATGATTTGTATATGGACAACAATTTATCTGATATGGAGATTTTAACTGCAGATTCATTCCTCAATAAGAAAGTAAGAATTCTAAATGGATGTTCAGCTGATAATACAAATGAAGAAAAAATACAAGATAATCCTAAATACTTTTATCATGAAGAAGATAGGAACCTGATGTTACCTGCTAAGACTGCTGAAAATCATTCACAACAGATTTTTCATAGTGAGTCTGGGAATACAATACCTGAAGCTCCTAGACAAACCATAAGAAGTGACAGTGTTATGAACTTTGAAACAGTGAAGAGAATAAATGTAAGAATTGATGAAGAAAAAATACTACAAGATAATCCTAAATATTTTTATCAAGAAGAAGATAGAGAGCTGATGTTACCTCCTAAGACTGCTGAAAATCATTCACAACAGTTATTTCAAAGTGAGTCTGGGAATACAATACCTGAAGCTCCTAAACAAACCATAGGAAGTGACAGTATTATGAACTTAGAAACACTGAAGAGAAAAAATGTAAGAATTGATGAATTGCAGAAGCTAAGCCATGCAGAGCTTGTATCCATCTTGTCTGATATACTTTACAAACAGGAGTATAATATGGACCACAACAACTCAGAATTTTCTCATAATAGAGACTTGAGTTCACCAGAATCTCCAGGTAGGTACACTAACAGTAATACAAATATATTTATCTTGAGTTAGAATCCGGGTTCAAATCAATGGAATGTTCCTGAGCCCAACCAGTTCTGATGGGTACCTAACTTACGTTTGGGAAACAAAGGCGGCTGGGCATAGTGATGACCACACTATCCCTTCATATGCCGAGGTCAATGAATCAGATGAACTCTACTTCATCTACCCCACATGTCTTGGGCATGAACTGGATTAAGAAGAGAAGATAAACATTACTGCTGGGTAATGTATCATTGGTATATTCTCAGAATAGTTGGGTCAGTTCGTGTACAAAGCATTAATTTCATGCCTAGATTCTACAAGCGGACACACAAAGAAATATATTTGCCATTGTTTGGTGGTTGCAAATTATACTCTGTTGAAAAATCTAAGAAATTACATTCAATCTTAAAGTTCTTTGTAAATTTAACAAAACAGATGATTTTAATATATATATATATATATATATATATAGGGCCTATATATATATATATATATATATATATATATATATAGGGCCTATATATATATATATATAGGGCCTATATATATATATATATAGGGCCTATATATATAGGGCCTATATATATATATATATATATAGGGCCTATATATATATATATATATATATACTGTAGTTATTTTATTTCTAATGGTAGACTACTGATAAAATTCACTGTTTATTTTTGGAGCAAGTCAGGCACCAGAAGAAAATTATTTTAACAGAGAATAAATTTAATAATTTTTTGTTTTTACTTTTTATTTAGTTCACATGGAACTAAAAGAGTTCAAAACAATGGAGTCATTCAGCTCTGCCTCAGTTGTTGACAGCTCTTCACTGGACTCTAGTACCATAGCTACCAGCAAGAAGAAGAAGGCTGGAAGAAAGGGTATAAATCCTACAAAAATTAAAAATTCTGAATCTGTTCCAATTCAGGATACTTATTCCATAAAAAATAGAAGACATGTGGATGTAGATGCTGGAATAAAAGAAGAATCAGACATCAACAAGAACAACACTGATTCTCAACTCATACCTGTGAATAAAATAGTTACAAGAAATAAAAAGCAGACAAATAGTTTTCTTAAGTCAGATACTCAGGCTCAGCCCTTAAAGAAGAGGTTTAGTCTGCGCTCTGCCTTAAGTCAAAGCACTGTTTCTGATAGAAAAAATATCTTCTCTGAATTCCAGTATGATGAAGTATCAGAGAATAACTCTACCATCGGAAGTGAAAGTTCTGAGAATAAACCTGTTAAAAGCAGCAAAATAAAACAAGCAGGATCGTATCACTGTAAAGAATGCCCAAAGACTTTTTTAAGCAAAGTTTTGTACAGAAGACATGTCCGATCTCACAGTTCTGGCTATCAATGTGATAAATGTGGTAAAACTCTAAAGACCAAAGATTCATTGTATCATCACCAGAGGGGTTTGCATAGCGAAGATAAACCTTACAAATGTAAGCAGTGTAATGCGACCTTTAATTTCCATCACAGTTATAAATTACACATACAAAGACATAGAGGAGACCGTCCTCATAAATGTGATACTTGTCATAAAACTTATCTAACTTCCAATCACTTGAAGGTTCATATAGAGGCTGCTCATGGTGTAAGGAGCAAAATCTGTCACATTTGTGGTAAAACATTTTCTTATAGCTGCAGCCTTAAAGAACACTTACATAAACATACAGGAGACCACCCGTATAATTGTAATAAATGTAGTAAAAGATTTACTTCCAAACCTTCACTCAAGGCTCATTTACTTTCACACATATCCAGCAAAAATTATTCATGTGATGTCTGTGGCAATCTCTATAAATCTGAACATTCCAAAAATGTCCATATGAAACGTCACACGAAACAAGTTCGCCAGTTTGTTTGTGAACTATGTGGCAAGTCTTTTCTTTTTAAAAGTACACTGAAGACTCATTTTAGTACTCACAGTAAAGTGCGTCCTTATGTCTGCACACAATGTGGGAAAGGGTTTAAATCCAAAGCAACGCTTTACACTCATAAATACGTACACAGAGAATCTCACGCATTTCCTTGTAACATATGTGGCAAGGCTTTCAAAACTAAACATTTTTGTGCTGCGCATATGAAACGACATAAAAACGACACTTCTTTTAGCTGCACTCAATGTAGCAGCACATTCCCTGACAAGGCTGGGTTATCTAAACATATGAAAACTATACATCTTCCTAAAAAACAGTTCATATGCATCATTTGTGGGAAGAAGGGAACAAGAGGAGACAATATGAGAACACATGTTAAGAATCATAAGAAAGACTTACCTGCCAATGCTAATCCATCAGATTTCATAAAAATAGAGATGATTTCTAATTTAGATTCAGTACAAGGAATAGTGAGACAAAGAAAAAGGGGACCAAAACAGAGAGTTTCCAAAAGGTTGTGTCCATCAGAACCAAAGCTCATTGATGTGCAACCAGCAGTTGCATGCAAGTTAGAGGTACCAACCCTGCAACCGACGTTAATCAACATGTCTATTTTAGAACAGCAGCAGTATAACTCTGATGTGTCATTTCTGCCTAGAGATGAATATGTTGACCATAATAATCCGGACTCTCAGCTTGACCAGCAGCACAGTACCGAACTATACCAGCACGACCAAAACAAAGCACCATATTACCTGACGTATCTGCACCAACAAGCTGAACCACCAGGGGCAATTCATAGTTCAACCATTTCATTCAACAATATGGCGAATCTTTTATCAGCCATAAATCAAGAGCAAGAAAACAGCGCTATTTCAGCATCTGTTTTTCATAATACACTAGCATCTCTTCAGTCTGATGCTAACCATCACTCATTATCAACTTTGTATAACGAGCATGATCATGGAGCTTTAACACATTTACAGCAAATTTTACAACGTACTAATGATATTTCTAATTCAAACCTGTTGGAACATCAAAACTGTACTACTCATTTAAATGAAGGATCTGCATTGGAATTTTGATAAGAATTTTCTTTTGATACTATTTTCCTTTTGGTATTATAATATAATTGATATTCTTCAAGTAACTTTGTGGAATTTGTATTTTCTGTTGACACTGTTTTGTATTGATTTTAAAAAATTAGATTAACATTCGCAATGCTTCCACCTAAGATGTGTTGTTTTTATCTAAGCTGTTTACCATTTATGAATGAAGTATAATAAATACAAAGATGTTAATACATTTTTAGTAGTTGTTTTTTGAATGGTATGAATGGACTTAATAGTAACTAATTAATTGTTATAATAGTAGTTAATGTTATAATATAAATGCAGGCTACTGGGTTATGTAGACATAAAAAATTAAAAGACTGGCCAAGGATATGAGATGAAACACCCACTGAAAAAAAGCATTTCTTGAGTAGGCCTACACAATGATATTCATTCTTTAGTCTGCCAAAAGTGAGTATCCAGTTGTGAGTTAAAGGATTATTACAAAATGCACTTTCAGGCAGATAACGCGAAGTATTCTATACAGCATCATTTTATTTTTAGTATTTACTGTTCTCGGTGCTAATTTAATCAGCTCTTAAAATCGAAAAATACTAGTCTTATTTCACGAAAAACTATCATTTTAATACATTACTTTTTCTGATATTGGCACCAAAATATCACGGTTTTTTTTTAAATTCTAGATCTAGATCTATATTTTGGTGCATTATTTTGCTTCGAAAATTCAGTCTCTATTTTGCAGCCAACAAATGGTATTTGAAAATTGTCTAATCGTTTATGTGAAATAGGCATTGCAAAAAACAAACAAAAAAAAAAACCCACCCCAGCTAATTGACCAGATTTGCGTACGTTTATCTGGCACATAGTTTCTTCTAAATGGTGTCTTGTAGTAGATGTGAAATAGTGAGAACTGTGATCGATAAAGGATGAATTACCTGCCAGGAACCGCAAGTTTAGTTGAGGAAATTGACAGTGAGCTAATACTTTATCGTATTGTTTATATTTACCTTAAATAAGCTGTATAACTAGATCTATAAGATAGACGTAACGCATGTATGTATTAATTGCGATTAAACTAATTTTTAACGTCCACAAATGTTATGGTCCAATAACATTTTTTCTTGATTTTATTTCTATTATTAAAAAAATTAGATTTAGATCCTAGACCTAATAGTCCTAATACTCAGTAGTACTAATACTAATAGGCCTCATATAGCCATGTCATAGTAGTCCAGTATCGTTTTTTTAACAAACCAAAATTTAGACATGCCCAGCAAACCCCCTACCCAAATAAATAAATCCTTATGAAGACCACACAATAAAAAACGAATTGATAATAATAGGCCTTAGTAAGTAATTAGGGGCCTACTAAACTACTAACAATCAGCTAAAATATTAAATTACTAGGGTACAAATAATCAATAATACCCTAAGCCAATATTGCCAGTAGTATTGTAATTGTTAGCCCATTGCAAAATGTGTGCTTGCTTGTGGTGCTCCCCCAGCAGTAGTCTACCCCATATCAAGTATCACTATTACCTTGTAATAGAAAAAAATCTAGTTTTAAATAAATATTTGTTGTAGGCCTACAAGAATTTTAAGCATATTTATAATGGAAATCAGCTTTTAGCCACTTGACTGATACAGTTTCATTGGTGGAAGATAGTTAGGGGTCATCCATAAATGACGTCACGCTTTTTTGACCATTTTTACCTCCCCCCTCCCCTCCGTCACACATGTCACAAAAAGCAGACCCCCCCCCCCCCCCTAAAATGACATCACACCTCAGCCTACAACCCCCCTTAAAATCTTGTCTGAAATCTGTCAAAATAGAGTATTTTAATCAATTCCTATTACAATTTATTAAAACTGTTTTCTAAAACGCAAAATAATGTCTAAAATTCGTTTTCTAACACTTCTTTTCTATAAAGCAAAAGTGTGACGTCGCACCATCTGAACCCCCCCCCCCCCTCATCACACATCGTCACAAAATTACGCCCCCCCCCCCCTCCCCCCTACGAGTGTGACGTCATTTATGGACGACCCCTTAGGCTTTTTTCAATGTTTTTATTTGCATTTCTTTAGAGAAATTGCTGGTTGTCTTAAGAGATGGACGGACTCTAATTGGATATTTAAGAACAATTGATCAATTTGGTATGTATCATATTTTTTTGTTAAGTGTTTATCACTAATTACTTAATTCTTTTTAAATGTAATCAAAATCACCATCCAACTTAAGTCATTTTGATGCACATTATAGTTATGAACATTTTTAATACTAAAATGCTAAGTAAAATATTAAAATTGTATTATTTGCTTCATAAAAAAGCATGGTTGTTAGTAAATAATAATATCATGGAAATAATCAGATTTTAATATTTTGAAACTGAGTTATAAGCAAGTGATTTTTAGGTAATTATTAGGTTTATATACTTTCAGCCAACCTTGTGTTGCACAGAACGATAGAGCGCATTCATGTTGGGAAGAAGTATGGTGATATACCTCGTGGTATTTTTATTGTTCGAGGGGAGAATGTGGTCTTATTAGGAGAAGTGGTATGGTCAGCTGGTTTTATTGTTTTTATACTATTTTAATTTATTTGTTTGTCATTTGATTAGACTGCTTTTTGTTGGGTCTGCACTTTAAATTCCATACTGTAAAATATTATGTAATTCCGACTTTTGAACTTCAGCATTGTCTACACTGATTATGTGATTATGCACATGTAAATTTAGTCCAAGCTGCTTTTACATTTGACTATCTTTAGTTGATTTTGTAGTCAATGTAATATTTCTGGTGTTATATGAATGTTGCAAGTTTTATTATTGTTGAAATAAGCTAATTAACCAAACTATATTTTTGTTTTCCACACAGGACCTAGAAAATGAAAATAACCTTCCCCTGGAGCAGGTGAATATTGACACCATACTTGAGTTACAAAGGGAACAACAGCTGGAAAGAGAGGCTGAGCAGGAGAGGAAGAAAAAAGCTATGGCAGAGAGGGGCATTCATATAGATCAAGCCATTGATGACTTTTAAATTAGACTCTGGTAAAAATTTTGTTGGCATTATCTTTGTGAAATTGCTTAGTTGACCTCAGTGCTGAGCTAATGTAGTGTGTCTCAATGAAACATATATCAAAGCACAGGTAGCTGGATTTTATTTAACTTTGCTATTTTTTACACAATATAAAAACCTTTGAAACTATTATACTGTTAATAGTCTTATTTTTTATCTGCATGTATCACACTTGCTGTTTAGAAAAAGAAAGCAAAGCATACTTAAAAATAGGCTTTAAACCTAGAGCAACAGTGATTCATCGAGATGCATTTCACCAATTGTATAAAATAGAGCACAAGGTTGTTGCAATAACTGTCAAGTTAAAATAACTAATTTTTTATGCATATTTTTGTTAGCATTAGTATTGATTGTACATATTTAAAATGTTTACAATGCATATGACTACAATTACTACAAAAGTAAAGCAGCATTAAACTGCTTTTCTTTGTAAAACATAAACTTCGTGCAAAATATGTAATAAACGTAACTGAAATTTTGATTCAAACTGATTTTTAAAGTTTCCATTATTTTATTGAGTCATTTGTAAACTAAGATTGGTTTATGGAGGACATTTTTTTATCATCATCATTACAGGCAAAAGGGTTTAAGTAGATAAATGGTTAAATTGCAAACTCAGGTCACTCCATTTAAAGTTTGCCCTGTGCTCATAAAGTAGTCTGAAAATGAGTCCCACTTTTCAAATAAGCTAAAATAATGTCACACAATTCCAACACAACACATTTTATTTATTTTCAGTACATTTAATCTTATTCATCAGCTGGTTATGAATACTTATATATGAGTTACAAATTACAATATAAAAAATGTATTACAAATGAAATGTTTCAAGTTATACAGCACCAGAATGTTATCTTGAATTAAAATAATAAGGCAGTTAAAAAATGCTGTATTTGAAATTATATGCAAAGTAAAGGTACAGTGTATTTTTAGACGTAATAGAATGGCCTGCTAAAGTAGTCTATTCTATTTTTAAAAAAAGTCATTGTTTATCATTGTAAAGCAAAATATTTTCCAGATGTTTCTCTAACCATTAAGGTGCTGAATAAAAATATTTGTATAACAAACATGACATTAACAAAAGACCTTAGGGGTTACATCTTCTGACTCACATGATGGTCAATTATTAAAATCTAACATGACCCTCTATGTATCTCTTACAATTCTGAATAAAACTTGGTGAACACAAAATTATTAAGCTTGCTGTTTACTCAGGTTTTCCAAGAATTGAACTAGAGTTCTTGTAGGGCGGCCTAAAAAGAAAAAAATTAAAAGCTGATACAATGATAAAAACTTTATAAATAAATAAAATAAAGCAAGAACGTAATTAATCACCAGGGAAATTTGAACTCTGTAAATTCCTTAAACCATGGTCAATTTAAGATAATTATAATTTAATTTTAGATCATTAAAATAGTGAGGAAGAGCCTAAACAATAAGTCATATTACATTGGCCATTTTTACAACCTTAATTAAACAGGAAACATTGGGACTCATGCAAAATATTAACGGTAAATTGGTACCTGACATTCCTTTACCCATGTAAGCTACATCACCCTTGTTCATCATTACACCTGCTATATCTAGATGGACCCAGTTGTCAGTTGACACAAATTCCTGCACATAAAAAAATTAAAATAGTCAAGTACAAAACTCGATGCTTTAATTATTTACCAGAATACACTTGAAACTAGCTAACAGTGGCATTTACCTTGAGGAAAGCAGCAGCAGTGCAGCTCCCTGCTTCTCTTTTCTTGCTGACATTGTTAATGTCAGCAAGATCACACTCAGTCATCTGTTTGGTGTAATGTTTAAATAATGGCATCCTCCACATGCGATCACCTGTTACTTTACCAGCCTAAAAGAAATAAGACACTACTTTAAGGAGAGGGTAATAAACATTTTTTGTAATACAATATAATAAAGGTACTAGCCACTGAAAACAGAAATATTTTAGATGCAACCCTCACCAACACAAAGTTGGTAACAGCATTCTTACATTGTGCAAGTTTTCCCAAATATTTTCAGACTTTGTGTATGCTGCAGTTGCCCCTGCACCTAAGGCTATGACAACTGCTCCTGTAACAGAAAAAAAAGTCATAAAAATAAGTGCATGATTTTAATTAGTATCAATAATATTGTAATTATATGATTTCAGGCTTTATCCATAAAAGAGTTTTTAAAAAACTACATCAAATGAACAAAATTACACACCATACATAGGTGTAAAAATCTACACCAAAACATAACATGGCAGTTTTAAGAATGGACTTTACAATTCTACAAACCTGTTAGAGTTGCAATGTCCAAAATAAGCTTTGGTTTGAAAGTTTCAGCATAACATAAAGCATCAGCCAGTATTAGCCTGCCCTCTGCATCAGTGTTGTCAACCTTTAAGTTTCAATCAGATAATTAGATCTACATCCTAACTAACAATTTTTTTATGTGATTTATGTCAATAAATAATATATATTAACTTTTTACCTGAATAGTCTTCCCATTCATAGCTGTTACTACATCACCAGGTTTGGTGGCTTTTCCACTTGGCATGTTCTCACACAATGGCACCAGACCTAATTAATTTTATAAACATTTTACTTTTTAAATAAATGGTTACAATACCTAAAGTTGTACTTATAAAACATTCCATTGAGTAAAGGGGATAAAGAATACTCTTTAAAAAAATAAGTGATGGCATTATCCTTTGAAAAACTGTTTATGATGAAAAACATCAGGAGGGATATTAAGTTCCTAGAGTATAACAGCTATAAGATGTAACCTTCACCTTTTACATTGATAGGCAAACCCAGTTTAGCAGCTGCTTGAATACTGCTAACTACAGCAGCAGCTCCACCCATATCTGCCCTCATTTCATCCATACCACTTGATGGCTTGATTGATATACCACCACTGAAATGGCAACAACATTAAGCCAATTCAGGGTTTTATTTAATAATTAATTTCCAAAAATAAATAAAAAATGAGAGTATAATTTTAACAACCTATCAAAAGTGACTCCTTTGCCAACAAATGCAACAAATGGATCATCAGCCTTTCCACCTTGGTAATCAATTTCTAGAAACTTTGGTGGCTCGTCTGATCCCCGGGTTACTGATAGGAAAGATCCCATCTTCATGGATTCAGCCCACTCCTTTTCTCTGAAATAGTTTTATACAAATTTAACACCACAAAACATCCCTTCATAAGACAAAATTTGTATTTTTTGCTTCAAAATGAATAAACCTGTGGACACTTGAAATCTTAATGTTGCCCCACACTGAGCTAACTGGATTACCTCATATAAAAAATTTCACCAATTAGGTTTTCTACTAATATTTGTTGAGACTATCTGTTAAAGTTCAGTTGTAAAGTTGTTTTAAATATTAACTAATAAATGTGTTATAAAATAACGTAAATCACTTGGAAGCTAGTAACCTACTGTCAATATTACAATGTTTTCATTAGAAGATTATAAGCTTTTTAGTTTACCGAGTTGTTTCTTCTCAGAACTAACATAACTTACCTGACAGTGATCTTGACATTAGGGAGATCTCCTAAAGTCTTCTCAACTTCCTGGCAAAAGATGGTGGGAGTCATCAGATTTGCTGGGTTTTCTTTCAACCATCTGGCAAAATTCTGAGCACTAGCAAAAATTTGACCTCTTGACCACTGTGCATTTACTTTTGACCTATACAAATTACATAATATTAACATTAATAATGAGTGACTATTGGGTAAACAGAGTTAACTAAATACAAGCAAGCCAAAATAGTAAAAACTTTAATAAAGATAATGTTATCATTGATGAAAAATAATCTGGGTTACTAGGTTCATAAAAAAATATTTTATCATTTTAAAATAAAAACTCACTCCTCTCCCAGGCCTTTAGTGTAGAGCGTGACATTCACTTTTGGTTTCCTTTTGTCTTCTTGTTTCAGATCATCAAAAGAATGCAGGGATAGAAAAGCACCTTCAGCAGCAGCTAAAAATAAATTACAATGTCTGTTAAGAAAGATATAACATTAAATGTGAGTTAGGTCAGATTAAATGATTAAATTAATACAGCAAGTAGGGTAAACACCAGTACCTGTACTTGAAATGACAAACTGCTGAGTATACAAACTCACCTTCGGCGTCTCCACATGCCTCTATGTCCACATCTGTCTGTCCTGCTTCACGCAAACTTAAAACTGCACCTAAACAGAAGAAAAAAATTTTGAAAAAAAAAAAAAATCATTAAGGTAATAAATATGAACTAACATGCTAGAAAATATCATTAGAACAAAAAACTGACTTGCAACAGCAGTTCTGACATTTTCTTTTCCCTGATCAACCTGTTCAGTGTCATCATAGCCTGCATCTTGTTTCCCAAGGTTAGCTACAGCCACAGTAGAGTAGGTTTCATCAAGGCCATACAGCAGACGGACTTTACCACAGCTCAGTTTTTTGCCAGCACTGAAAATTATCATTAATTTTTTATTTATTTTGTAGGTTAACCTAAAAATAATACATTAAATTCATTTCACTTTTCTGTTAAACCACAAATTTTGCAATGAAAGCATTAAATAAATGCTAATTGTTTATAATTGGAGTCAACAGATTACTTTATATACCAAAAACATCCCATACAAACATAGCAACAATTACAATGAGTACAACAAAGAAACCTTAGTAATTGACCTACATCTTCAAAACAGACTCAAGTTTTCCAGCAGTAGATTCATCAAAGCTTTTAGCAGATGGAGAGAATATAAATGGTCCATCTTTTTCATTTGGCTCATATACACCCAAGACAAGTCCTTTGCTCTAAAAGAAAATTATGAACATCTTTGAAGTATACTTTTCGTTTCATAAAAATTATTACATAACGCTACCTTGATTATAGCTTGACTTGCAGTATTAATTAGACCAAATGGTTAATGTTTTAGATCAATTTCTGAGATTTGGGTTGATGGGCACAGGACAGGTCAATGAAACATGACCGGAGAGCAGGTTTTCAGACTATTTCATTTTATTGTACATCTATAATCTGTATTGCCCAATACTCCCTACATCTATTATTTTGTGGACTCATTAGGTTAAACCAGGCTTAAGGCCAGTAAAATTCTTATGAGAAAATTACCACTGGCTGGAATGTACTAGATCTATAGACCTAAATTTAAAAAATGGTGCAGACAGTCAATGCAATAGGTAGGCATGATTTTTTAATTTTTTCAACCAATAAGCCTAACCTAACCTTGTTGTGACATTGCTTTTTTTTTCATTATTTGCAACATGACTGAATTATAAATTAGGCCTAACCGCCTAACCCTAAACTCTAAACAAATTTAGAAGTAAGCTTTTAGGTACTAGATCTAGATGAATATATCTATCTATCTAGATCAATATATTCACTACACACAAAAAGAATAAGTGGTGAGGAAGTAATGCAGACAATATTTCACAATTTTTAGGATTAGGACTAAGTCTAAGAAGAGTGTGTGTGTGGTGGCCGTGCCCGTGGGCCCCTGTCCATTCGCTATCGTAAAATTATTTTTTGTTTCACAAATCGAAGCTTAATTTTCATTTGTGAAGCATGTCGTGGTACATTTTAACTATTTTACCTGTGTTAAAGACACGCTAAAAAACCTAGAATTACTTGAATTGTACCATTTTAGTGAAGTTTTCGAGTGCTGCTTTAATAGCAGACTCAGCTGGTATCCTGCTTGCCTCAAGCACATTGTTATTAATCGAATCTTTTCAGAGTTCTCTACCCTGTAATCGTAATGTATTAATACATTATTTAGCAATAATGCTTTAGGCCCTACAAAGCTTATAAGCTGATACCATTTTCAAAACAAAGTATTATAATAGTCTAGATTTTTTTCTGTATTTTGTGCTTTATATTATCTAAAATAGTCTACAAATAGTGCTCCACTTTCTTTTTTTATATATTTATAATCTAGATCTATAGACCTATTTAATGTTGCATTTGGCGAACCTAACCACAGCTTTTGTAAACAACATGGCCGATGGCTGAATTTATAACCAAATACCAAATAATGAATAAATAGTAGAATTTAGATCCAGAGTCTAGATCTAGAACTGAATTGTATGAACTGAAACGAAAGTAATTAATTAGTGACATTAAGCCTATTTAAATTAGTACCTAGCCTCCTACTAGATCTACTACTTCACTACTTTTAACTTTTACTAACTCAAACTGACTTAGAATTTTAGAATAGATTTTTTGGTAATCTATCGTTTTGGGTACGTAAAATCGCCCGCGATTTGTAATGTGAAAAACAGGTGACTCCTTAAATTTTAATAATTATTTCACATTTTGGGGAGGATTTATGTTTTAAAAAATTCAAAAATGTTTCCTTGATTCATTTATGTACCTGTTTTTAAACAATTGAATTAAAACTTTTCCGTAATAAATGAAGACTAGCGATGTTTCCAACAGATGCAGCCATGCTCGTTTACTATAGCAGCCATCTTGTCTAAGTTTTATTTTTATAAGCTTTTAGCGCCAGATTCAGGGGGAAGCCACTCTATTTTACAAATGGCTGCTGTTTATATAGCAAATCTTGCTCTCAGACACTGCTGTTTAAAGTTAATTTCTGGCCTATATCGATATATTTAGCCATTGATTTAGGTTTATTATTCATTTATCTATAATATTTGACACAATAGTATGACAATACACTTCTATTAAAGCCTTGACAATGAGGTAACGTTTTCGTACATAAATAGCCGCGGGCGATTTTACGTACCCAAAACGATAGATTACCGATTTTTTTTCTCATTTCTAGATCTAGAGAATCTAGATCTTAACTAAAATTTTACTAAAATATTCTAAATGAATTTAGATGGAAGTGGTTTGAACGTTTGCTTATCTTTGATAAGTTTGATTGTAAGAGAAAGAGGACTTGGCTTTCTCAGTGGTTTAAAAACAAAGGTAAAAAGAATATACAAGAGCTTGAGGTGGTGTCTATAGAATAAAGATCCCCATAATCCAACCGCAGCTATGGTAATCTTTTTACAAAACAACCATCAAGTCAAAAATGCAAGAAAATTTGAAAAAATGTTTAACTATAAAAAAATTATGGTCGGCTGTGGGCCCCTAAATGGCATGCCCCCCCCCCCCCCCCCATTGCGGGGTCTGGCTGCACTGTAGTTCTGCCCCTGTCATGTAGTAGATCTAGTAAACAATACATTTAAAACTCTATTAAATTACTAATTTTGTTAGTAGTTAGTATTACTAATTAACTTTTCTAATTTAGATCTAGTATTAGTTATTTGTATACTGGCACAAATGCTGGTAGTGATAAATTAATATATTTAGTTTCATTGTGTTTGGTTAGTGACTGGTCCTGAAAAGAACTTCATAAACTATTTTTTTGAGAACATTTATATGAAAAACCTATCCAGTTTAAAACTTAAATTATAGAGTCACATTCATCACTTGGTTTTAATAATTTCTTTTTTAATATTTCAGCCAGTAGCCTATAGAAGGATGAATATACAAGAACTATGCAGATGTTTTCCTGACAATATTTTATGTATCTAATTATAATAATCATATTTGAGATGAGTATTGCTGGTAGAAGTGACTGTCGCTTAGATGATTGCTATGCAATAAAGCCCATCAATAAATCACTTCAAAATATTCAGAGTGAGTGTGCAGAAGAAAAACTCTCATCCACTAAAGGAGAAGATGAAAAGCAACCAGGTCATAGGAGAAGTGCATCCCAGTCATTATCACCAACATATCCAAAGTATCAGAGATTTAATTCCTATCAACCATCCACAAATGATTCATCTAAAAGTGGTGAGAACACAGCAGGTTTGAGACCCTGCAAGTCAGAAGATTATTTAGTGAACAGGCTTCTAATTGTATCTAGTAAAATAAGGAATGTTGTCTCTATTAGACATGCACTTGTTCCTGGGGTGTATTGCATTCAATACAACTATGATTCTTCTACGCTAGATGACATTGAAACAATGATAGCGCAAACTATCAATGGCAAAAAAGTTCAAAGTATTGCATTTATTATTCATTGCACTGGATCCTCCCTTTTTCTTTCTGCTAAGGAAGACAAGAACATTAATAAAGATGGAAGTCTTGATAAATCAGTTCAAGAGTTCTTCTTGCACATTGTTCAAAATCATTTTTCGCATGTTAATGCATCATCTAGAATAGATTTTCTTGGGTGGCATTGTCTACAGAATACAGATACAGTTCCTCCATTTGTGTTAGAGTTACAGAACTTGACTGGTGTTACTGTTGGTGTATGGAGGGATTTATCAGGGGTTAATGTTAATCAGAAATTAGGAGAGGATGGTGGAAAATGTAGCATTGGAGAGTTGTACTTTCGACTGGACAAGCTTAGAAATTGGAGTGGCAGGCATCAACAGAGTTTGGCAGGGTTTGAGAAAATAAGAACAGTTGGCAAGGGGGCTTATGGTGCAGCTGTATTATATAAGAAAAAAGACGATGAGTCGTTAGTTGTGTTAAAAGAAATAAACATGCATGATCTCAATGCTTCAGAAAGACAATTAGCGTTAAATGAGGTCAGTGTCTTGGCCATGTTAGACCATCCAAATATTATCAGCTATTATGATAGTTTTGAAGAAGATGGTGTTCTTATGATAGAGATGGAATATGCAGATAATGGAACTTTGGCTCAGTTTCTTGCCAAGCAACAAGACCGGTTATTAGAAGAGAAGTGCATTCTTGCAATGTTTCAACAACTGGTAGCTGCCATCATGTACATTCACTCACACAACATCCTTCACAGGGATCTAAAAACTGATAACATTTTTTTAACTAAAGAAGGTGTGATAAAAATTGGGGATTTTGGTATTTCTAAAATGATGGGATCTGCAAGTATAGTTGCTCAAACTGTGTTAGGGACACCTTATTATATCAGCCCAGAAATGTGTGAAGGGAAGCAGTACAGCTTCAAGTCCGACATCTGGGCGCTTGGTTGTGTTCTTTATGAAATGGCCTGTTTGCAAAAAACATTTGAAGGCTCAAACTTACCTGCTGTTGTTAATAAAATAATGAAAGGGTCATTTCCACCTTTGAAGGGAAATTTTAGTGATGAGTTTAAAGATATGGTGACTGATATGTTAAAGAAGAATCCAGATGAGCGCCCAGAGGCACAGGATATTATGTATACAATTTTACCCCAACTTTTGAATAAACAAGGAAGTTTAAAATCTGATCAGGATGAAGCTTCCTCTGATAGTAAACAACATAAAGGGAAGATTCGGTCAGTCTTGTATTATTTTGAATCCTCCTCTGGAATTCTTACCTGTGTGAATGATTTACCTCCTCGTATGAAGATAAAACATATGGCAGTTGGCCCGGATCATGTGATCGTTACAACCACTGAGAGACAGGTGTTCTCCTGGGGTTGTGGTGGGAGTGGTCAGCTCGGGCATGGTGATACTAAAAACAGAGACATGCCAACTCCTGTGGAGGGACTTAAAGGAAAATCTATCACCATTTGTTGTTGTGGTTTAGGCTTCAGTGTGTTTGGTAGTGACAATGGATTGGTGCTGACTTGTGGCGATGGGAGTAACGGTTGCCTTGGACATGGGGATTGGTGCAATGAGACCAGACCAAGGCTGATTGAATCTCTGTTAAGTGTTGATGTAATGGCTATTGCAAGTGGGTTGAAACATGTTGTGGCTATAGGCAGATCTGGGCAAGTTTTGTCATGGGGAGATGGTTCAAGTGGTCAGCTTGGCCTTGGAAGTGAGGAGAGTCAGTGTATTCCCACAGAAGTTCATATAGCTGAGGCTGTGGTTTTTAAAGATGTGAACTGTGGTGTTGATGGCACCATGCTTATATCAGATGTTGGTGGTGTTTTTGCATGTGGTAACAATGAAAATAACAAACTGGGTCTGAACAACAGGCAGGGTTTTTTAATGGCCATGAAAAATATATTTAACAAAACTGAAGTAGATGGTAAGAATGTTCCCACACCTGTTAGATCCCTAGCTAGGCATCGTGTTGTTGTGGTCTCAATGGGCGCAAACCACACTGCCGTCATTGTTGAACCTGGACATGTCATCACTTTTGGGAAAAACTCTGAAGGCCAGTTGGGTAACTTGAACTCCAAGCCGTCAGCAGCACCGGTAGAAGTAAAAACTCTAGAACAGAAAGCTGTCAACCGTGTTCAGTGTGGGGAGCACTACACCGTGGCTGGTACTAAAGACCATGAGCTGTACTACTGGGGGTTGAGGTACAAGATGCCACCCCCTGTAAGGTCTGAAGACACGACGAGCCAGTCTAGCTGTAATGAAAGCAGTACTGGGGTTCAAGCAAATTTACACAAAGATGACATGTGCGTTGAAAGTCTTGCCACACAGCTGAATAGCTCAAATGGAAGCCAGTTTGATGAGAAGGAGGAATTCATAAAGAAGCACGGTATAGCTAATGAACCACAGGATCAAGTATCAAATACTCATGAATCTGATTCCCAAGGGTTTAGGCCAATCAGTAGCATCCCTCGTCGATCTCTGAGTGCTAGTAGTCAAGAGAGAAGCAAGGATAAAGAGATTTCTAAGGATGGAAGTATCCTAATTCTGCATCCAATGGAGCTGATAAAGTTGAAACAAGGAAATGAGAAAATGTTACTGGGCAACATTTATTGCCATGGGGAAAATTTGTTTATTCAAGTGGAGACAACTGCACCTCCACCACGACGAAGAACTTTTAAAAAGCGAATTTTTCGTAGAAAATCTGGTCAGTCCCTGTCGGCAACTAGTTCTAATAGTATAAACAACAGGGGAGGTAAAACAGATGATAACTCATGCTCGTCAGAGACTTCTGAAATGGACACACATAGTGATATTCCAGCATGGCTGAAGGAAGAACTAGCGCAAAGTGCAGCCATAGGAAATGATGGCAATGAAGCAGATGATACTAGTGCACAGTCAGATGAGGAGAGGAGAACTGAGGGCATAGACTCTTCCATGTCTAGCATCCAAGTGAACAGAGTTATCTCCCCTGTTGCCAACAATATTTGTTTGTCTTCAAGACTCGATCCAGTTTTTATAAGCGGAGATAAACTTAGCCCTCGTCAGAATTACAGGCCCCAAACTCGCAACCGTGTGAGTTCAGTTAATAGTTCCGGAAGCAATACAGATGCTTTGTTTGCTGAAACTTTCACAGACAGCAGCTCTGGAGAAGTTGGCAAAAGTTTAAAAAAACATTCCACCTCTTCCGCTCTGCCACCCAGGGTAACACTGAACTCTAAAACAAAATCTAAACTTCAAACCAAAACAAAAGACCGAGTAACTGTTAAAGACAAGACTCCACCCCTCGTCCCCAGGGATAGAGGGGTAGTGCGGGGGCTGGTGTCTGATGTTACAGCCAAGAGAAGAGAGGAGTCCCTGTTGTTTGAACTGGAGAGAGTCAAACAGGAGAAGAAACAAGCGGATGCTAGGGTCAGGTTACTGGAGAAGGAAAGAGAAATGCAGAAGGAGTATTTGAAACAGGAGGCGGAGAAAATTGCTAAAGAAAGGGAAGTGTCGCTGGTCAATGAAGTGGAGAAACTGCGCCTTGAGATTGAGGCTCAGAACAATGTGCTACAAAACCACCAGCGCGTTGTGTATGAGCTACAGCATCAGCTGAACCTTGTCATGGTGGAGCAGCAGAGCCTGGGGAATGGGCTGACTCCAAGGTCTAATGATGAGGAGGACCTCACTCCTAGATACGATGGCTCAACTCAGTCAAGTAAAGGGAAGATAAGCAAGATTTGTTTGTTACAGTAGTTACTCTTCCTTGTCATGGGATCTCAATTGTTGATGTACAGTAATACTAAATGTGATTTCTAATTTATTTAATGTACATGTATCCTATCGTTAAACATTTCATGTACTTTAATTTATTATAATACTGTATTGTAGACATTTTGTGGTACAGATAAAATAGACTAGAATGTTAGTTTTATTTATTTGTATGGAGTGATTTTAGCTTTGTTAGTGATTGTTATAAGCCTACCATCTGTGATTTGGGTTTTATATAACACTTTATCAACCGTCCATTTTTTAAATGTATACAGTCTATGTATTAACACTAGTATACAAGTTATACTACACTGTATGTAATAATGTTAACATTCCATTGTGGTTTTTTTTACTACTGCAACTCTACATGCAGCTGTAGTATGTGCTTTATATTCTCCACAAACTGTTATTATTTATGATGTGGACAAAATTTTCAGAATATTAAAATGCTCTGTTGACTACAATAAATTGTTTGTTAAATAACCAGTAGAATTAAATGTCATCTGGTGTCTGTTTAACTACTCATGACCAACTCCCTCTTTGATGTTAGCATTGTATGGGCTATAGTATCCATTTGGTGGCATTGACCCTACACCTAACCAAAGCATTCAATAGCTCATACATCCCTGCCATTTATTACCATACTCTGATCAGAGGTCGTGTCTTCTGTAGACCTACCCCATCTTATCCACTTGCCTCGACTTAATGTTTAGTTTAATTGAGACTGACCCTCATTTAATCACACTGTTGTTTATGGTTCCTTTTATTTTGAACCATGGTGTTGGGGGATGTATTGGAGTGAACAATGTTTATGGGGTCGCTGTCTCAAATTAAAAAGGCTCATTTATTTTTATGTATAAATCGTACTTGTGACAGTACAACGCAGGTTTCGATAGGGTAGATAATGGTATAACTAGGCTACGGTAGCCTGTCATCAATTACTGGGGCAGTCACTTAAGTAGGCTATCGTTGCCTATCAATACTATCATAGACCTAGTGTTACCGAATGACTATCAGGCATATCAACATAACGGTAAACTTGCCAGGACCTTGTTACGTTTTTAAGAAGTAACTGACTTAACTACTAGTGAGAGTATCAGTAATGAGTAGTAGTTGTCTTTTTTATACTGGCATAAAACAACCGTTATCCAAACACTTTTAGTACTAAAATGTAAGGAGCCTATTTATTCATATATGTTTATTTCTTGTTAAACAATTCTAAGAAGAACATTATAGACCAATGAATTTATGTTGTAGTAATCCCATGCTAGCTTTAGATCCGATCTTGAATCCAAGGCGTCTACAAAACACAATTTTACAGAATGCCTTTGCATTAACTACATTATGTATAATATCTACCATCTCTAGTTAAACCTAGTCTTCCATACAGTCACTATTTACACTTTCTGTTGTAACAGAACGAAGATGGGGAAAGGAATTATTTTTTGTTTGTGTTATAAAACAAACGGCGATTTACATAAGTAGACCTACATTTACCGCATACAATAGCTGGTATTGTATATGTCAACATACAACTTATGAGAGTAAAACATATTTACCATGTCTGCAGGCTCTCCTACACGCTGTATGTGTGCTGTACACTTAATTCTTGCTGAGTGTAGATAACATTAACAGGGTCTATATTTTTATACAGCCATAGTGTGTCCTGTGTAGTTGAATTTAAGTGCTTTCATAAACGGAAACCGTTTTATTGAAACTGCGCGTATTAACCTTTTTATGTACATGTAATGTAAGCTTATCATTGGTCTAGATTTTTTTTTTGTTTTTTTTTTTTTACAAGGAGCAGAAGCATGATAGAGCAGGTCACTAGCAACGTCCAGGGACTTAATTAGGTAATTAGTAAGGTCTTTAAAATTTGATGACCTCACGTAGGCTCCATTCCGTTTCCTTCATCATAATATGGCCTACATTTTTTTGTCATTTTTTTTTTCTTATTAACAGTTACTCGCCCGACCCAGGCTTCACAACAAGCATACCCGTGTATAGTTAGGTTACGAGTTAGAGAACTGAGAAAGCATGGTTGAGTCTTGACAATAAAATTCAGTTTGCACAGCAATAATTAATTTCCTTAGTCAACGCGGTCTTTTTTTTTTTTTGGTACAAGTACAAAATTCTCCTGTCTATCGATAGCGACATAACGTTTTAAGCGCATAAAAAAATTAGAACAGCCGCTACATCATTCATAAAGTTGTAACTGGACAATCTGTTGCATGCGCCACACGCTTATCCAGAGCCAGCCCACTCAATGATGTGTTGTATCGAGTCGTGTATCGTCAACTGTTGCATTCAATCCTCAGTATTTTCGCGACTTACCAGCCGACATACAGAAACAAAATTTGTCGAATTCTAAAAAAAAAATCATTCGTGTCAATCTCGACAAGCGCTACTGGTTCTTCTTTGTAGAGAAAATTAAGTTGTAAAATATTAATGGGATGGGGGGGGGGGTTACTTTAAAGACTTGCATATTAAAGGAAACAAGTGGATACATGTTTCTTTTTAAGATTTAAATGTAATTTTCCTCTACGAGCGATATTTGATAACTAAATAGGTTTCAGAAGAACGCGATCAGCTTAATTTTTTTATGACAAGATTTATGTTTCTGTACGGATTAGTGCAGTTCTTTATGTTGTAGATAAGTCAACACACTTGACTAATGACTGCATCCCATCTTATCACAGAAGATAATTTACTAACTTCTGTCCTAGAGAGTCTCCTCACAAAAAGTAGTCCCTGTTCACATGACTTACAAGTGTTTGCCCTGGTGTCAAAAAACCCATGAGTAATCATAACAAAGTAAACAACATTGTGCGGAGTTGGCGTCAAGTTTTACCTCTACACATTAAGCGGAGTGTGCTTTAAAGAAAGCCATTTTTAAACTCATGTTTTAATATTTTCTATTGCATTTTAAAAAATTATTCTAAATCGTCACACATCGTCACAATCCAGACAACATCTCCAAAAATATTTTAGTCTAATTTCATCAGTTTTAAGACCCAAGAGATGACTCCACTATGCACACTCTCCTACACCACGATCCCAACCCACATAAAACGAAATTACTTACCAAACAGCTCTCCCTCACTTACTAGAACAAACAGGATTACGTAAATATAAACTTTTGAATTAACCCACAAACCGCTTGGCCGCCGAAGTTAAGAAAATTGTCATAAGGGGAAAATGTAAAACTACATAGAGCAATTTATGTCAAATAAAAACAGCATTTTAGGGTTTGTTAGGGCGTGGCATCCATCAAACCCGGAGGAAACACGACATGGCATGATGCCACCACACAAAAGACCAAAAGACGTAGCAGCTCACTGTGTGCATGTTCTTCTATCCAGGTTCAAGGGTTAGTTTATAAGACGCCACCCTTCTGTGTAAGAGGGCGGAGGTCCCTGGAAAAGTATGTGTGGGGGGAAGGGGCGGGGGGGGGGGGGGTGAATAGGAAACTGTGACGCTACACATTGTTAATTTTTAATTAAGTTTTTTTAAAAATAAATTTATGTTAGCGCATCTAGAGTCTACGTGTGATTTTCAAAGATGCAATTAATCACAACCCGGATTTGCTAAACTACTCATCCGTATGTGATGTTTACGACCAAATTGACTTAGCCAGCAGTTAGCTACATATTTATTTAATTATTTCCTTTGTATAAATAATTTGCTATGTTAGAAAAATATTTTTTACGAGCCGACCTGCGGCGTAGCATACGCCGCTATTTAGTTGTTTTTTTTTCTTTCTACTTTTCAGTGATTCATAATTTGTGTATACGACACTACCAATGCTGCGACTGAAAATATTTTGCTATAATACAATATCAGTAGCTCGTGAAGGACGATCATCCTCCCCGCCCCCATGAAAGCAGCCGTCCATGACGACAGTTTACCGACGACAAGATCACGCAGAAATTGTTACCCCCCCTTCGTTTCAAATTGTTTAAATACTAAATTATCTGACCATAATAGCCATCACTAATTCAACCCGGCTCTACGATTGTAATCACTCATCGTGAGCCACCAGACTAGAGACAAGGGAGGGGCAAGAGAGGCGTGCTTACGTGGTGGTGGTGTCCCACTTTGTCCCAAGGTAGAGAAAAATATATAGAGAGAGATTCATTTCGGGGATCGGAAAAAGGGTCATCCATATATAACGTTACGCTTTTTTTTCTCCCTCCTCCCCTCCCCACCCCTAAAATGACGTAACACCCCAGCCTACAACCCCCCTCAAAATTGCAGTTGAATTTTTCTTAAAACATCGATATTTTTTTCCAAAATATTGTCTGAACTCAGTCTATATATAGAGTATTTTAATCAATTTCTATTTATTAATATTTAATTCCCCTTTCAAACCTGATGGTCTATGGGGCAAGGGAAGTAGAGTTCACTTGTTTCTGTGAAAACAAAAACATATGAAGGAATAGTGTGGTCAGCACTATGCCCAGTCGCCTTTACTTTCCCTAACGTGAGTCGGGTGGACTCAAGGACGTTCTACTAACTTGAACCCGGATTCGAACTCAAGACTTACGGGTTAGCAGTCCAGCTCTCTACCGCTAGATCACTCAGTCCCACCAATTTCTATTACAATTTATTAAAACAGTTTTCTAAAACGTGAAATAACGTCTAAAATTAGTTTTCTAACATGGCTTTTTTACAATGCAAAAGTGTGACGTCGCATCATCTGAACCCCCCCCCCCCTCATCACACACCGTCACAAAATTTCAGACCCCACTCCCCCCTACGAGTGTGACGTCATTTATGGATGACAGTAGCGTAGCAAGGATCGTCTCGTGGGGGGAGGGTTCAAGTTTTTACCCGGGGACAAACTTTCGATTTGCATCCCCCTCAAACTTTTGATTTGCACCCCCCCCCCTCAAACTTTCGATTTGCACCCCCCCCCTCATACTTTATATATATACCGAGGGGTCTATGGGGGGGTTATGGTCCCCCCTAACAGAGTTTCTTCCAGGCATCTCTTCGGGGGGGCGAAGCCCCCCCGAAAAATTTTTACCGCCCCCCCGAACGAAATGAAATTTATATAATATATATAGAAAATATATACTTTTAACAGTGTCCGCCCCCCCCGAAGAAAGTTTACCGCCCCCCCGAAGATTTCAAGTGCCCCCCCGGAGAAAAAAGTCTGGAAGAAACACTGCCCCCTAACCCCCCCTGCCTACGCCACTGATGGATGACCCCTAAAGCCCAAATATGATACCATTCTATTGCCCAAGCTATGACGTATGCTGATAATTAAAGTCAATGTGAACTCCGGTGAACCCTCTCCTGCTGATGATCACACTGACGATTACAAGCTATTTAATTGGAACTGTCCTAATGTTTTTTAATGCTTTTTTATCTTTTCTAAACAAAACTTACATTCATCACAAAAAAAAGTAAATTTAGCTCTAAACCTAGATTTCTAGTGTTTTCTA